ATGATGATGATGATGATGTACTACTGGGAGGATGTGGGCGGTTGACACTTTGTGGCTTCTCACACTGCGGAAGGTTATTATTTCTTTAGGTACCTACCTGGCAGAGAAAAAGACTTGTTTGACCTCAGGCCTTTTGGGACATGTGTTTGGGACCTATCACACGCTCTTTTGGGGGTTGTTGCTTTGAGGTTTAGTTGTTTTAACGCCCACCAGAGAGGATGCATACCACTGGCGCCGGAAGATTGTAGGTCGGATTATTATTCGTCCTTTTTGTTCCTAGTGGGACATTGGGCTTCAGTAGCACGTCTCCAGTGCACTCTGTTCTCTGCAATCTTTTGAACCCGGCTTCACGACAGCCCACAAGCTCTCATTTCTTCCTCGCACCATCTCCTCCATGTCACCCTCGCCTCGGATGCCCAACTCGTCATTTCCCATCTGGGTTCATGTCGAGGGCCTGCGCGTGATGTCCCCCAAATGGTCTTCTCAGTGCATGCCCAATCCATCTCCACTTCCTTCTGCACATTTAGTGAGCGACAGGTTGCTAGCCAGCCAGAGTTCCTTGTTACTTATTCTTATTATTCTGGCCATCTGATCTTCAGTAACGAGCCAGCGCAGGCAGTTGTTGATGAATATCTATAGTTAGTAGGAAATGCCTTTCGTAACGCACCAAGTCTCTTAACCACATAGAAGCACTGACTTGACGTTGCTGTTGAAAATCCGGATCATGCTCTTTATGCTGAGTGCAGAAGATCTCCACACTGGCTTCAGGCTAATGAACGCCTGTCTTGCTTTTCCAATCCTGACTTTGACGTCCTTGTCTGTGCCACCTGTAGTTGAAACAGTGATTCCTAGATAAGTGAAGGAGGTTACTTCCTTTAAGTTTCTCCCTTTCATGATGATTGGAGTTTGTTGTTGTTGTTGGTGGTGTTGGTTGGGTATTTTCATTACTTCTGTCTTCTCTACGTTCACTTGAAGTCCCGTCTTCACTGCCCTGCCTCTTCTGTTAACTTGTTGGATTTTGCTTGTGGATCTTCAAGTTTGTGTGACATTAGACACAAGTCATTGGCGAAATCTAAATCTTCTAGGATCTTTTACCCGGTCCTGGCGCGATTCCATCTGGTCCTGCTGCTTTCCCGCATTTCAGTAGCTTTATGGCATTCAGGACTTCGACTTTCGTCGGAGGGCTTGTGTTCGCTTGTCCTTCTGTGGTTGCAGGTGGTATTTCTGGATGGAGTGCAGGTGGTGGCCGATTCAAGAGTTTTTTGAAGTGGTCAGCCCATTGTTTCCTTTGTTTCTCTTCTTTGGTAGTTAAATTTCCTCCATCATCTTTTATTGGTCTCATCTGTGTTGATCTCTCCCCTCCTAGATAGTAACCTGGTTATTTGATAAAATGTCAGATCCTTCCTACCAGCAGCCTGTTCTACTTCACTTGCCAGTGTGTCATGGAAGTGTCTTTTGTCTTTGCGCGTACTCTTCTTCACTTCTTTGTCCAGTGTTTTATACGTTGTACTCAGTTCCTCTTCTCGTCGTTCTTCCTTGCACTGGTTTATCTTCTGCTTCACCATCCTCCTCTCCCTGCTCTATCAGCTTCCATGTGTCCATCGAGACCCATTCCTTATCTTCTTTCTTTTTCCTTCCTAATGCGGTTATGCAGGTTTCTTTCCATATGGCTTTCAAAGAGTTCCAGTGTTCATCCACACAGGTTTCTTCAGCGATGTTGCTCGATATCTCCCATTTTGTCCTAATGACTGATGTGAAGATGTCCCCTGTTGTTTCGTCCTTCAGTTCAGTTCAGTTTCTGTTCTGGGTGTTCAACTTGGACTGTGGTCCATCACCATCTTCCTTGAAGGCTTTCAACTTGATTTTGAAGGTAGGTTCCTTGCACTAGACGGTGAGTGGTGTGAACCACCTACATCTGCTCCCCTTCTTGATCTTGTGTTCAGTAGGCTGCGACTCCACTTTCTTGAGATTGTGATGAAGTCGATCTGATTTTCAGTGTGTCCTGGTGTCTGGTGAATTCTACGTCGCTGCTTTGTAAATATCCTTGTGTTTGCACACATTGCCTCCGACCACCAAATCGTTGAATGCGCAGAAGTCTGTACACTGTTCTACATTCTTGTTCATGCTTCTCGACCCATGATGAGTTGTCTTCCTGTGTTGTCTGCTCCCAGTTTGGCATTCAGGTCACCCACCCATTAGAATTTCGATGTCCCCAACTGGGTTGGGGTCTTATCCATTATTGATTGCAGTTGTCTATAGAATTTCTCCTTCTTCTCTTCATCTGCATTATTTGTAGGTGCGTAGCGCAGCATTGTATGATTGTGACCTTCCTTCCTTTTGAGTTGAATCTTGCTGTCATGATCCTGATCCTGCAAGAGGAGATTTGTTTCCACTGCGTGAGAGAGAGTCTTCGATGCTGTTGTGGACATGATGATAGCCATGCCATAACTCGTGGCTCGTGGTTGTCGTCTGGGTGAGAGTATCGGAGTAGATTATTGATTCCTTTCCAGTTAAGAGTTTGGAGAGTCCATTTCCATCCCATCTGCTTTCGCAGATTCCTAGCCTAGCACTTCTATGCTATATCTTATCATCACTTTTACAATCTGGGCAGCCTTATCAGCTAGCTTCAAAGATTGTTCGGACATTCCGTGTCCCCATTCTTACTTTTGCTCTCATCGAGAGAGGGGTGACACATCGGCCAATCGGCTTTCCGAAGGCTTTCACCAACCGGCGTGCTTTCGCCTCCGATTCCAGTGAGGAATAATTTTGTTTTCATGTTTTATATTTTGTCTGTGCTTTGAAGTTTCTTTAGCGGTTGGATTGGTTTTACGAGGTAGTGTTGCTAGCCTTATGCCCAACCTTTCCTCTTTACCCGGGCTTAGGACCGGCTAGTGAACTAGTTAACCAAGAGAGGTTTAAAAAAGTTGGCAACACCCAGTATTCCCAGCCGGTCACCCATGCAAGTACTAACCGGGCCTAACGTTGCTTAATTTCGGAGTGTGTTGTTTTAGGGGTGAACGTTTTCTAAACCCCTTCCTGTTGGGAAGGTAGCGTCAGGGTGGCACTGCTGGTCATCCATGGGAAACCTCTTACTGCTGTCACATCCCATCCAGGTAGCGGTAGTATGACTTCGCCCTAAGACCCTTATTATATTTTAGTAATTTGTACTGTAAGGGTGCTTGCATTTCGTCTTACTACTATGCAGTGGATTTTTCTAGCATGGTGGGACCTCGAGGAAACAAGAGTTCCAGCTAATGTAGCTCATTGTCTAATTGTGATACGCAAGTCTGTTCACCACGTCAAGGTAGCAGTTATCAGTTGGATATTAATCGAATTGGCCGCTTTATGACCTTCACGAGAAGTCTTCTCTGCTTTGGTACATAATAACATTGCTGTGGACCAGTGTGGTGGCACTACTTCTAATTTCCAGTAGTTTCCTTTCTCCGTCCTTGCAGACTTCTAGTGGCCAACCGTCAGGTTCGTTCCAGTCAATGAATGACAGCATGAAACCTTGCGATACTGCGTAACTGTTCAAGTTGCCACACCTTATATCGGGTCTTTCTGCTTTGCTTTGTCTTAGGTTTAAGGAGTGTTGGAGAACTGAAGTCTACATCGTATAGGGGTTCATTATATGTATACCATAGAATCGTTATGCAGAAACTTCACTGTTAGATCGGATCTCAGTTAACAGTGTTGTGTATGTTGTCCAACTGAATGGTGCTGGAACTCACCTACTGACTGCAATTTAGATGAAGTGAAAAATGAGCACTATAGAAAACTGTCCGTCTTCTAACTGGAAACCAGGCGTTCAGATGTCGTTATCGTTGCAGATGGTTTCAGTACATATGGAGGGAAACTACAACGGAGGAGTCTAAGTCGCTCTTTCGGAATCCCAGACAAACTAATGGATAACAGTGATCGCCTTCTACAACTGGGTTCAAACTGCTACGAATTTGAAACCAGGAGACATCTGATGCAGCATCAAATCAATGGTGAACTAAGACAAACCATATCACTCTTATCGCCAGTGTATCGGTGTACTATTGCCGCTCTTCATGAAGCACGTTTTCAAGCGATAAACTGACAAAGTCTGCACAATGCAAGAAATAGAAGGTGGCTTAGGCTAAAAAATGAAAAAGGCTGCGCTGATAGGTAGCGTTAGACAGTTGTCTAGGTTGAGATTAAAGGTCACTGGTCAGTAAAAGGATGAATCTGTGGTTCGCTCGTAGGATACATGACTGGAGCGATCGGTGGAATAAGTCGAGAAACATTTTAACCGACCAACTATTATTTCGTTTCCCACTATCCAGTAGAATCTTGAATGCAGTACCTACACAGGCCCTTCTACCTCTTGCAGAAGTCAAGACTGTAAGTAACCTGGAATGGGGTGGTGAAGTAAGGCCAGGTGAATGAGTACCGGAGGTAATTAGGGACAGACAAGATGAGTTGTCTGGTGTTGCGAACGTGGCTAAAATATGGTAAGGTATGTGTGTTATTCATCCCGCTGTCGCTTCGTTTTGGCTGAAGTATGAAAGAAATCTAAGAATTAGCTTATAGGAGCACTAAATTGAACTATGAGATCACCGCGTGTTAGTCTGAATATCATTTGGGAGCGTAGACTATGCTGTCGGTGTTATAAACCCGCAGTTGGGAACTCGATGACTGCTTAAATCCTATCATGGTAGTGTATGTTTACTATTGATCTTGTTAGAAATTCTAAACACTATTATTAAGTCACTAATTTGTTCCTTCTCATCATACAATTCTTGTTCTCTTAATATTGTTCACAAAACAACCAAAACCAAAGGTTGGACATTCCAGATGGTATGGGTGCAGTGTTATTTCATTGGTGCATATGCATATGCACCATAACATTATATTGACCGTTACGTTATGTTTGGTTATTTGCTCTCATTTCTGTTTTTCCCGCGTTTTATAACATTCTACCACTCAATTATCTTAATTCTTTGAGAGTAATTTTGATTATGGATTCATGTTAGGTGGAAAACCGTTGAAAACCTGGGAGCACTGGAGAACTTTCCCATCCTGGTTAACGATTCCTCAGCAATTCACACACAGGACCCATCGAGAGGTCGATTAGAGAACCGTCAGATTTCGTGGTAAACACTTTTCGGTTCAGCCACTGGGTTGTCATCCAATGGTCCACTGTTTTCAACTCCTGGTAGCACTATTTCCCCGTTTTTGATGGTTCGCCAGTTGTCATGGAATCTATCAGTCCCTATAAGACTTGTGATTAAATCATATTGCTTTCACGCTATACCTTGATTTGGTAACGTGATTTGTAGCGAATTGTACCGTTACGCTAATGATGGGTCCCATGTTACTAATAACTGGTTGATTGGGTATTTACATTGATTCTGGTTTTCTGGTGCTGGAGTGGAGTGCAACTTCAGTCACTGGACCTTTGTGTGAGGTTTTATCTTGGTTGGTGTCTCTTCCACTTTGCTCACCAATGTTCATATTGTGTTCATTCCTTTGTATTTCTTCTTGGTTTCGTCATTTTTCCACTGGTTTTGATTCCAACAGCTAGAATCATTTTCTGCTTTGCATTTTACTGATTGACTGAAGTGGCTGTTGAGCACGTTTTCATATTTTCTATGCTTGATAGCTATGTGAAGGCTTATAATGACTGTTTTATGGTGACGATGAATAATGTTCGTATGTCCACTTGCGATTTTGGCTTCTTACCTTACGTTCTGGTCACACCTTTGATATGCATGTATTTTTACTCTAAAACCTGGTCACCTTGCATTGCCCAGAGAACGTAGTCATACTACGTAAAAACCTTGAAAGGAAGCAAGAATAACTAGATTTGGAATTTTAGCCCTTCTTGCTTTGTCCAATTTTTTAAATGGATTTAAAATATATAAAACACTTGGTCTGTTGAATGTCTAAGCCTATGTGTATGCATTTGTTCAGTTTAATCGTAGGTGTTTAAGTAGTTCATTGGTAGCTACCAATGAAATCTTGACTACAGAAAGTCTTTTTAGCATTCATTAGTAGTATGCACTACTTTGGAGCAGTTTCACTGTGTTCTTATGTGCAATTGAACTGTAGATAACATTATTTCGTGTGATTAACTTTCCGAGGTATCATATGTGGAAGAAAGTATTACCTTTGTTAGCTAATTGATGACCTTTTTTCGTGAATTTTTGGCACATTTAGAAGCTCTTATGTCTCATCAAAAAACGAATTTTATTTCTCATTTGGTGGTAAAAGTAGATAGTGTGGATGGAAAGCTGTTACACAAAACCTTGTCATGATTGCGAGATTTATATTTCTTATGCACTTTGCTTTAATGTAGAATAAGTATTAAAAGGTTTTTGGGGACTATCACTATTTAGAATTTGCATTATCTCATTAATTTTGCAGGAAGTTTGCAAATAGTCCCTTTTATATTACAGTGAAACTGGGTTCTGTTCAGCAACGCGTTTTTGGAGGGCCCGCTTACAACGTCCAATATAGTTAGCTTCACAGGGGCATGTGAATTTGTAGATACGCAGAGATGTGGACATAAGTGGTAGGCTATCCTTCACGCATTGTCGAATCAGATGGCAGATGGAGAATATCAGTTTCGGTCTAGCAGAATAGAAAGTACTATTGAAAGACTTATATTGCAGTTGTTTAGGTCAGTAGTAACTTTAGTCATTATGTGTTAAATCTTGAAGTTACATACTTTTCAACAGTTATTTGATTTCAGAATACTGAAACCTAACTTATTTTTTTGGATTGTGTTTGCTATTGTGAAAGTTTTAGCGAGTGTTGGCTTATCATGTCATCCACACCAAGAACACCTCATCGTGCTTGCAGGAAACTGACCATTGCTCGCATAGCAGCTTGTTTAAACTCACCCCAAGGCTTTGAATATAACCTGAGTGATAAGCAGGTTTTATCTTCAAAACCGGATTCTCGTCCAAGACCTCGACGAGCCACATGTCTTGCTACTTTGAATTCACCTGGTAATACTACTTTCTTGAGTCTCATCGTTTTCAGTCAGGAAATTGTCAGCCCTTCACTTATCTTCACCTCAGAAAACTCCTAAACCATCTATGCAAGCCTCCTGTATCAAGATAAGTAAGCCACTTTTTTGTACTAAGACGATTTTAACTGGCTCAATAAATAGATGGTCTATCGGAGAATTGAGTTTCTGTTTTGCTTTTAATGTTCCTCACTTTCTATCTCTTAGGTCGTTTTATTATCTGATCCCCTTAGTTATTTATGTGATTTCGGAAAACATTTTTCTTATCAACAGTGTTCAGTATTTCATTTTCTATTAGTAGATCTCTTTGATCATAATCGTTATTTTAAGAATACTGTTTCTGTCCTGAAAAAACGATGTTTAAAACCAAGTGTCTTAACTAAAAGCTTTCTTTGGACATTGGATTTTCAGTATGGCACATAAAACTTACCTGTTAGTCAAATAAATTGTATGGATTATTCTTTTTTGTGTCATTGGGATTGGATTTATTGGAAGAAATCATTATTGCTCTACATTTATGTGATCTAACTCCTCAACTCATGAACTTTTGTGCGTGGGACCGTGGCATGAATTATTTCGTTTTATAGGTTTTCCATTGTCGTCTTCTTCTTCTTAAGATGCTAACAGATGAAGGTGTCTATATAAATCTTTGTTTACTCATCTTTGAAAGTAATCAAACTTTTATTTGTCAGTAGTTCTGAAGTACTGGAAAGTGTATGGTAGATCACATGGAGTTGGTTAATATATCCATCTTTGATGTATCCGCCGAATTCTCTAAGTTGTAAGATGCTGGGAGTGTAACGGTGGTGCAGAACGGTTTAACTGTGCACTCGTGACACACAGTCCTCACTTCAACCTGATGCTTGGCAATTACATGTCCAGCCATCTATATTTGCTTACATAGTCGGTCTGGAAGAGTGGGTGGTATCGTAAGCCCTCACAAGGGTGGCTCATAGGCTAGTACGTAGATGTGTTCTAGTTTGAGTTACATTAAATATTTTAACTCTCGTAGCGTTCCAATTTGCTAGAAACACCACCAGATAGTTAAAAAATAAATTTACTCAGCAATCGTGCGGTAGACAATGGGCCACTCCTGTTGTGTGACGTCTAATAATACTACCTGGCTCACCAGATCTCGGTAGGTGGAGAGAGGTTTGAAACCGTGACGCACTAGCAGAAAGTTGAATGTCCAGACCAGTGAGCTACAGCTCCACAGCTCAGAATTGAAACCAGCCAAGATCTTTAACGTAAAAGTAGGAGAAAGCTCTGTAAATTGTCTTCAGGTGACTACTTACTTTTTAAGCGTTGTTAGTGTCATACTTTACTTTAATCTTTCCAATGTTTTTATTTATTTTATTAACTTCCTCTTTTTTTTGTCTTCTCTTACCGTGGGGACTTGTTCAGAGATACTTCTTTTCGTGGTTCTACTTCGATTGGTTTTTCTTTCTATCTTGCCTTCTTTATTTTTTTTTCGGTGCATATTTTGATGTTCATCAGGATTTTGCCATCAAGGTTTGAGTACTGAAACTGGGGGACTCTTATTTCAGGTTCTATGTTACTTGATTTCCACACTGTTTCTTCAGACCAATATAAATTCACATTTTTCGAACAATCAATCGGTTACACTTCATTTATAGGTTATTAGCGGTATATATATATATATATATATATATATATATATATATATATATATATATATATATATATATATAATTGTGCTGTTCAGATTTCTAGTTTCCAGAGAACTGCGTACTCTGATTTCGACGGATCTATTGATGATCACTCTCAAAAATTTGTTTTTTTAGGGAAGGGAGATGCCGTAAATAGAAAGCTTCAACGGTAAGCAATACAAACGAAACTTACTTTTTCATGTTGTGTTTTTGGTACTAGTTGGTGCATGTGACATGTATTATCAAGAGTCCTTTTGCATAGACGTTTTATCTTTATATATGTGTCATGTCGATTGACAAACGTGTTTACATTTTCAAACTTACTCAGTTACGAGATCGAAAACGACTTGCTTTTGGATAAACTACCGAACGAACGAATTCACTGTAAATCTTCAAAGTGCATATTAATAGCATAAAATTTACTTGATATTTCATATCTCTTATTGTTGTTTGACTTACTACTTTCCTCTCATTTATTTACTTTGAGGTCCATTGGATACAGTTATGGTTACTATTTAGGAATGTTTTATTTTCAGAACATTCATAATTGAGAAAGAAAAATATGTGTGTTTACCTACAGTCCACAATGTAGGGCGCCACACTTCTCAGCTCTGAACTCCATTCTGATTACTGTCAATATCTCATATTATCACCTAATCTTTCTTCACATCTTTTTGATAACGATCAAGAGATATCATCCCTGTCCTCCTAGATTCGCGCTTCAAACTACATATCAAGGGCTTTCATCGGTTTCATATTGACGACGATCTTCCCTAGCTGAAACCTTGGCATGTCGAACCATGAATGTATGTTGTGTTTGTGAGAAACAAGTGTGGTCATTAACCTAACTTTACCTAACCATTATGATAAATCTGTTGAATCCGCCCTCCAAGTATCCAGGGGCTCCTGATTAATGTCGGCGTTGTGGTTATGGGATTCAGTCCGGGGGTAAAAAGCGCGCTGCTCGACTGTATTCCGCTTGACAGTCGCCTATGAGCTGTATGAGTGAATCATACCGTAAAAGTCCAGAGCAGTAGTAATACACGTTTTTTATTACTTCAGCACATACACTGAATGACTGCAGTTCGGATGAAACGAAATGGAAACCTCTAACACAAAGCTTTATTGGCTGGAAAACCCCTTAGGCACCATTTCTAGTTCTGGAATCTCAGTCGAACGAATGGTAATGGCGATCGTGTGCTACCATTGTCCTTCAAGCAAGTTCTATCCATCTCGTGCGTGGCCACACCGAAATAGATATTGGAACGCTACAATCGAGGGAGAGTTCGGAACGCAACTCGGTAAAAGTAAGACTGCTTTGAAAGAGAAACTACCTGGACATATCAAAACTGGACAACGACACTCATCTTGAAGAAACCAGGTGCCATGACCGATTTGTTATAAGAGAGATCAGCTTTAAAGATTATAAATGACTCCCACTAAAAGATCTGAAAGTGCAGTTGAATGTCAGGGGCTTAATACAAATTGATGTATGCACGCAAACGAAATCCTGCAGACTCCTAACAAATTGGAGCGCAGAAGCAGTTCAAATGTAGACTGATATAGAGTCTGCTGGGTTACTGTGAACGGTGGTAGCTGGAGGAGTCTGAATAGATGGAAAAAGCAGTAGCCACTGGTTACAATAGACAGTTATTTAGACTCATCAGAGAAACTAGGGTGAAAAAGGAGGTGATTAGTGAAATTATGAGGAAAGATTGGTTTGGGATACAGTCGCAGGAGGGAGGGGGGGGGTAGGCGTATGTTGGAACAACAGGCGTAACGCTTGGGAAGAAAATTCATCCGACCTGCAACTCAGTCACTCAATATCAACATATGAGCAGATGTTGCTGCGTATCATTTTCAGTTGGGTCCAGAACCTGAAATAATTTCGCCTACTCCTCATGGATCAGGTTTTTATAGATTTTGACGAAAAAATGGAATGAAACTGATTAAAGTTTGGTATGACTACTAACCTATTTTACACTCAACTTGTACGTAACTAATATTGCTGTTCTACGACTCTGCTTATGCAACGAACGAAACAGTGGTCGAACATTTAAAGACTTTTGATGTCTTCTATCTTTAGTGACCGTGTTCCATAGTTATACTGTAGAACGGAGCTCACCTTAACATATCACACTCCACCCAAATAGGCAATCGGATATCTCGGCGGTGCGACAAATATCGGAAGGCGACAAAAATCAGTCGCCTTTTGTGTTGAGATCTCATCGGCCACTGTCCCATTGGAACTGATCTGACTTTCCAAGTGAGTGAAGTTATCAGCGTGCTGAATATTTTCACTGTTTGTTGTCAGACGGGAAAATTAACATTTGTGTGATAAGAAACGCATCCTAAACATTCTTGAATTGCCACTGTTGCTAGTGTCTTTATGTAAAATGACTAGGTGTTTTAAGGAATTCTCTGTGACCATATCAGTCTCTATGTAGTCAGACGGTGAGGAGAGGAAAACCTCCATCTCTATGTCTATGATAAGGTTGAATGAGAATGGAAAGAATGTATGTATTTGATCGCTACCACGCGGTGTGAACAACTCACCTTACACTAGGCGTGGATGCACCCAACATTGCTGGAGTACACTCCGACCCTTAACTGTTACCCTGACACTATGATCACGGTTGCATATCACAATGATCTGACGAAATACACTGGCCTGAACGCCTGTTTATTTGGAACCTGTTATACCAGGAAGGTCTGTCGAATAGTGGTCAAATGAAAAACAGTCAACATTATAGTATAAATTACTATGTTATGATTGGAATTCTATGGCGAAGTCGTACTGCTGTCTGAAGGGGTATGACAGCAGTAAGATATTTCTCGTGGATAACCGGCAGTACCAGCACCATGTTGAAGCTTTCCTCCCTATAGGAAAGAGCGTTGGGTTAGAACAGATTGGTCCCAAAAATAATACACTTACTGTCTTGTAGTCATCCGGTGCCAGCGGTACAGCTTTTTCTCATCCGGCGTTAGAACAACCAAATCTCAAGCCAACAATCCTCAAAAGGGTCTGGGACTGAACTCAAGCAGATGTCCCATGGGGTCTGCTGTCACATAAATCATTCCTTTTTTTCTCTTCCAGTTACTCTTCAAACATACCTTCCACACTGTCAACAGCCTTAAAGTGCTAACCAGCCACATGCTTTCAGTAGTATATAAGACCCAAGTTAATATGAATTACCCTCTTTACTTTTGTCTCATCTCTCGTCTTTACTTCTTGGTACCAACACCAGACCCCATACCTTCCTCAGCCTCTCATTCTGGGACTGTTGCCAACGTTCCAAGCTATCCAGATGTATTAGTTCCCTGAAACCCCACCATCAGTTTCACATTAGAGCTTGCGATATCCAGACCATATACCGATGCAGACAGCAGAAATCTCATATCAGAAGTCTGGAATCTGAAGCCATGGATGTGTGCTGTGTTTCTCAAACAAGTAGACAGAACTTGACCCCATCTGACCAATACGGTAAATCTTCAAACTTCACTTTAGTGTCCAACGGGATAATAGTAGCTACCATAAACACACTGGTATGGGTTTTGCATTAAGTTGTAAAGCAGAAGGCGCACTTATATCAACCAACCAATCAGTTATTTCTAACATAAGACCTGGCATTATTGCGTAATGGTCCAAGTTGCCATGCCTCTTATCAGCACAACAAGTAAGGAAGCAGTAGGGTATAAGATGAAGAAAAGTCAGTCAAAAGCTGTAGAGATCAGTAAAAGAGGATGGGACAATGAGAAAATGCTGTATTCAGTATAGCGGTTCATATTAAGATGAAGTGTGGATACATCTGCGCCGCTGACATAGGTTCTGAGCCATATCATCTAGAGTCTCCAAACACTAGTTTCTGTTATCATATGGTCCCCAACCGACTAGTGTGAATCTCCGTACACCAACAGTCAAAGATTTCATGCAGTGATGCAGATGGCCACCCCGAGTCTTTTTCCAGCCTGAGCATACTTCAACCAACGTTGTGCTACAAGGCATACGGTGGTCTTGGTATTTATAACACATGTTCCAGCCTTCTTAGTCGATGAAGGTTTAGAACCTTATCAACTGAGTTTCCTCTTTTCTCCAAAACCTAACTTCTGCGTTTCTGACGTGGTGACACCATGATACATGACCTATAACTACGAAGGTAACGGTGGTCAAACACCGGAAAGCTTCTCATATTCTCTACCTTTAATGGCTGTTTTTCACAGCAATACAGTAGAACAGAGTGAGCTACAGTACCGTGCACTAGACTCTGAATGGGCAATCGTATATTGCGGTGGCGCCACAGATGCGAAAGCCAATCTAGCCTTTTCGTTGGCCATTGACATTGACCCATCAAGGCTAATCGAACTTCCCAGGTAAGTGGTGTTCAACGCACCCAACCGACTGCCTCCCAATTGTTAGCCGGGGTACCGCTAAAGATCTGCCTTGGGGCAACCGTTTGCATTAGGATGAGGAGAAACGCATACCAAACCTCAAATTGCCACTCAAGGTACTCAGAAAACTGTTTCTTGTCAGCATCCTCACCTAACATGACTATGTCATTCGCATGCTGTAGATCTGCCAGGGATTCTCCCGTGATTAGATCGACCCCTGTATTTTCCGATGATCAAAGGAAGACCTCCATTGGAACGTCTATAATAAAATTGAACAGGAATTGAGACGATGGGTATTTTTGACGTACACTCCTCGGTGTACATGACTCACATGTCAACTCACCATACGCTCGAACACGTCCACGGATGTTTGAGTAAAGAGTCTTTGACAGAGTGATGTACCCTATAAAGTGAGAGACATTGCCATAAGACTTCCCGGTTGATCGAGTCGAACACCGCCTTGATGATGAAAAATACAGCTAGTGTCATGCATCCATAAATGTGCCTGTGTTTCAGAATCTGGTGGAGTGTCATCACATCCGTTGTCTGGCCTGAAGCCTCTCTGGTTTTCTTGGGCTTGGTGTTCGCGAGGTTCACTCAGAATTCTAATAATAACAGAACCCAGATTTTTAGACACTATGTTCATCAGGCTGTTTCCCCTGTGATAATCACAATTACTCTCATTTCTTGAAGACTGGGACAATCAGTGATTGAGACCAACCAGAGGGGATCGTATGCGACTCCCACGCTAGTCAACACTTCAGTTAACTCGACTAAAAATTCCTGACCATCGTCCTTCAATATCTTTAGTAAAAGTCCACCCTGGTGCTTTTCCTCTTTTCAGGTTACCTACTACTTTCTCTACTTCTGCGAGTTTTGGGGACCCTATCTCAATGTTCTACTCAGGCTCCGACTGGATAATGGGCAACACAGTGGTAGCCAGAGGCCAGTTGAACTGTTCGTCGAAGTGTTTTACCCATCGTTTCGGTCGCGTCCGTTGCAAGTGAAACGTGAACGCATCCTTCTCCTCAATCGCCTCACTATTCATCGACTTTTTTGCGACATTTTCCGTAATCAGTTTAACTGTCTTTTGTTGCCAATGACCGTTCCATCTCTTTAGCCTTCAGTGCCTATCACTGTTCGTGGTCATTGCGTAGACGTTTCACCAGTTTACATTTGAGTTGCTTTCGCTCCCTAATGGATCCTGATGAGATGCGTTCGCATACATCCAGTAATTCAGTAAAAGCTGTGAAAATCTGCCGGCTCTTTTTAACCACTCTTCAACGCTTTTATTACGGCAGACTGCAGACCGCCTCAAGCTTCTTCTGGATGAGTGATATTGCTCTATTCCTCATAACTACCTAGTCAGTTTCTTACTGAAAGCGGCCTTAGTGCTCTCATTGTCAAGCTGCACTCATAATGGTCTTGTTGGTAAAGTTTTCTTACGTCCATTGAGATGTGCACGTGCTCGAACCAACGCGTGTTCGCTTTTCAAACACGTGCTGCAAAAGAAGCAGCAGTCTTTCACCGACCCTCTCCAGCGATTACCGATTTGAGCTCAGTGGACAACACGCCAACCAATGTCTCTCTTGATGTCAGAAGTCCGTGCTGACCAGCTATCAATGGTTGTCTGCGCCCATATGTAGCAGGCAATCGTCACTATCTGTTCGTTCGGGTAGGATTCTGAAAGTACCACCCTCCCATCTGCCTTTCTGTTTGACTTCGCCGACCCACTTGTGCACTGAAGTCATCTGCAACAAATACCACGTCTGGGCGCTTGGTTTTCAGTAGGAGGCTCTGGGGTTTCCGGTAGAACTCATCTTTCATTTCACTGAAACTGCAGTCAGTGGGTGCGGAGATTACGAAGAGGCAGTTACGTTAAGTTTCAGTATTCGTTTTGTTCATTCTGCCAAATTGCGCGTAAAGCACTGTCAACTGGGATCAAACCGAGAAGCGCAGTTTCTGCCTCGATGCCCACTGCGATAGCTACGCATGCAAGACCACGAGAACTGGCCATGGAATTTGCAAACTTGTAAGGTGAATTTCACGGATTCACCATATTGACCGGTTGAAGTCAATCGAGTCACCACACTTGAATCCTGTATACATGTCTCATAGGTATAGCACACGTCCACAGTTAGAGATTTCAGGGTTTTGGCGAGCGATGCTTGCTGTCTGATTTGGCATAGAGTTTGGATGTTGAAAGCTTCTACATGAAATTGATGGTGGGGTCTCAGAAGACTAGGAATGAGGTGTCTATGGATTTGGTCGTTGGGAATGGTTGCAAAGTGAGAGGTTTGGTAGGCTGTAGGAGGCTCAATATTAATATCAGGAGGTGAAGACCGAAGAGGAGACAGAGTTGAGTAGGATAGGTTGTTTGTTTGGTTTTTGTGGACTTTATATTTCTTTTGACTGCATTCACTTATCTTCATCCTTCGCCTCACTACCTTTTTACTTGATATGCTGATATGAGGTGTGGCAACTCGGACCGTTACGCAGTAATGCCTGGTCCTATGTTGATAATGATGATGATGATGATGTACTACTGGGGGGATGTGGGCGGTTGACACTTTGTGGCTTCTCACACTGCGGAAGGTTATTATTTCTTTAGGTACCTACCTGGCAGAGAAAAAGACTTGTTTGACCTCAGGCCCTTTGGGACATGTGTTTGGGACCTATCACACGCTCTTTTGGGGGTTGTTGCTTTGAGGTTTAGTTGTTTTAACGCCCACCAGAGAGGATGCATACCACTGGCGCCGGAAGATCGTAGGCCAGATGGAGTGTGTTATTTTAGGGGTGAACGTTTTCTAAACCCCTTCCTGTTGGGAAGGTAGCGTCAGGGTGTCACTGCTGGTCATCCATGGGAAACCTCTTACTGCTGTCACATCCCATCCAGGTAGCGGTAGTATGACTTCGCCCTAAGACCCTTATTATATTTTAGTAATTTGTACTGTAAGGGTGCTTGCATTTCGTCTTACTACTATGCAGTGGATTTTTCTAGCATGGTGGGACCTCGAGGAAACAAGAGTTCCAGCTAATGTAGCTCATTGTCTAATTGTGATACGCAAGTCTGTTCACCACGTCAAGGTAGCAGTTATCAGTTGGATATTAGTCAAGTGGATTGACCTGCTCCCTTGTTACCTTCGAGTGTGCAGTTAATGTTGTTTTGCTAGGTGAAGGCGCTGATAAAATGCCGGGTCTTCTGGACGAGTTGAGTGGAAACTTGAGTGTGTTTGCAGTACCCATATCCAAAATCGCAGGTACAGGAATATCGTGGGGTAGGGAGAGATGTGCTTTGTTTGAGGCCAGCCTTCCCATTGGGAAGATAGCATCAGCGTGGCACTGCTGGTCATCCATGGGAAACCTCTTACTGCTGTCACATCCCATCCAGGTAGAAGCAGTACAATTTCGCTGTCGAACTTCAATCATAGCGTAGCAATTTATTTCATGATGGTTACTGCTTTTTTTTTCCTGACTAGTATTGTGTCGAAGATCCTAGGATCCATAGTTATCCGACCCCTGACTAACTGGAGCTGGAGAAAACCGAACTCGAGGAAACCTGGCAGGTTACAGAACTGGACGAGGGTTCATCGACCACATTTCTACCCTACAACAAGTTCTGGAACACAGACATACTTACCGGTGGCCGACACTTGCCTGAATCCTCGACGTGAAGGCAGCATTTGACTCTGTCTATCGTGAGGTGTTGTGGCAGAGTCTGATTGTGTAGGGAGTAGCGAGCAAGTATATAACGCTAATGAAGCTCTCTACTCGAATTCATGCAGCCACATAAGGGCTTATGGAGGGTTGTCATCAAAATCGACGACAAGTAGTGATATCCACTGTCACTGTCCCCATGTAGCTTCCTTATTAGATGTACTTATGGACATAACCTTGGGTAAGTCTGACTTCACAGGGATTGACCTACTGCATGGAGGTTATCTCGTTGACTTGAAGTATGCAGACGATATTGTCATGGTAGGTGAAGACGCTGACAAAATGCAGGGTCTTCTGGAGGCGTTGAGCAGTAACCTGATTGTGTTTGGCAAGGGTTTTGCTTCTCCTGTTAAATGTCAATTAACCTCATGTCATTATTTGTTCGGAACAATTTCTCTTTGGCGTGAAATTTCACATGCGACCCGTCAGCTTCGTGGTTCCAACTTACTTTTTGTAATGATAAATTATACTGATGAATCAGTTTTGAGTTGTCGGTTGCAGCGTTGCATAGGTTATGTGGAGGAAACTGTTCAGTGATTTATTGTGAACAAACCCATATTATAATTTATTCTGCTTACGCACTCGTGCTCTGATTGTGAAAACTGTGTAGCCATAGTTGGATTTCATCCGTGGTGTTTGTTCTTTACTAGTCATTTCCTGATATTGGGATTATGTCCTCATATTCTTACTGATAACTATTACTTCCTAATTACAATATAGTAGTTTAAATGAAAGCGAAGATTCATCTGATGAAGATTTTAGCCTAACAAATGAATCAAGTTTTACTGAGGATGAATCTTCAGATTCTTCAGGATTTAATGCTAAGCTGCGATTTAAAGTTCGGAGTGTATCGAGAAAGCCTCCATTGAAGCTGTTTTCTACAAGGAACACTTTGTTTGTAAGCTAAACACCTACTATATTATCCTTTTTATTATGTTATTATTATTATTATTATTATTATTATTATTATTATTATTATTATTATTATTATTATTATTATTATTATTATTAACTGGTCAGTTTATCTTGTTATACGTCCTACAACGTACACTATCTGATATCCGCAAATGTGACCTGGAAACAACATGTGACGTTCTGCATAAGGACTGTTGCTTATGCATTTCATCCTCCGTAAATCTCCCACTTACTTCACAGTTATTGGGCCAGAGGATGCTATCTATATTTTTTGAAAGAGATGAGTTTTCGATTCCGGTTGTCTGCATTTTAACCGTAGCTTTGGTTGTCAGTATTCTGTACAAGAATGTATATCAAGTTAAGTTCAAAGAAACTGCAACACCTTTCGATAAGCTAAGGAGTTTTCAATCCAGTCATGAGGATTGAATATTACATTGGGAGCCTTATCGTAACCTCACCAGACAAGTGCACTAATGCAGAACCTTGAGCGATGTAATTTACTTTACAGTAATCTGAACCTTATTCTAAACGAACCTAGTTTTCAATAAATTGACTATAATCTAGCTTCACAGTAACCCGCTTTTGGATCTAAGTAATTTACTTCGACAGTAGAATACAAGTTATATGCATAACACTATCTTCTGTGTACAATTATGGCAATAATGAAGCAAGCAATGAATAAAATAGCGTTAACAAAGGGAACCAGAAGACAGCGTCATGCACGGTGATAAAATTGACTGATACATGAGAATTTGAACTGTGGGTAGATTCAAACCAGGAACCATCGAGTGGCAGAGCACCCGGCCGGAAACCGGTCCGGTCCAAATTTTCATTTCACCTTTGATCATCACCCAGTATAAACACTAGTCTGGCAAACTTCGGCTCTCTCAGACAGTCAAAATGATAATACATGAGAGTCTTGAAAATATGTAATTTAAATTCCAAATATAAGAAATTAAAGTCATATCACTAAGATTTCCCAGTCAACGATTTCTAACATTTCGACCTTGAGTGTGTAAACCTACGGTCTGTGGCTACATAAGCTGACACAATTTTGTTTTCAAACCACTCGTGGTTTTTAAGTAAATAATTTTACTCCAGCTCACTGTACATATAATTATTTGTTAACATGAGTCGGTATTTCTTCACAATCTCATGGACTAACTCAACTTTCATATCAACAGCTGTGCACCAGATATCATTCAGTGGTTCCGCAAAATATGGGTTGTGCCAAAAATTACCTGTAATTATAAATGCATCATACTATGTTATCCTATTTGAACAACCATCTTACAACCAATCACGACGTAAGGGATATACTGCACAGTTTGGCTGGTCAATTCAAAATAAGTGGAATCTAATGTTCTCTGAGCTTTATCATTCTCACCCAAAGCCATAAACTTTCTCTAGTAGATACACTGTTTTTTATACTAATCCATATATCACTCTTTCTTCAAGTATGTTAACATTGTGCATGTCGTCTTTTATTTTCTTCTCCATTGAAGGCAAACAAAAAGAACTCTACGCCCGGTCCTCAAAAGCGTACGCTTAGTCAAGTGCCTGTTTTTAATTTGGGGTGGGTCTAACTCTTAGACTTATAACGTCTTTGTAACAATTCCGTTACATTTAATGTTCATCTTATGTGATAATTTCGCGTAACTACTACATTTGGATTCTCGGTTTTTCTTCATATCAAAACGCATTATACGTTAACATTAGGTTACCACAAAATTACCTAGTTGAGTACAAATCTATTAGTGTATTTATTGACCCGTATTTAATGTTTCTCTAATGGTGTTTCTGTTTGTGTGCTGATTAGAATTGCTGTTGCCTTTGGTACATGGTTCTCCATTGTTTTTTGGGGTTACCTTTGTGATATGTTATACATCTGCAGTTATAGCGCAAAAATATTCCATAAAATTGTATTTTATTCAGGAAATGTTGTTCATTGGCGTATTGTGCTTGGTATTTTTAACCACATTTTTTGATGTTTTTAAACAGTTCTAAGAACTCAGAATATGGTTGGCTACCTGGTCGTGAACAAGAGTTCGAAAACATATACACGTTTATATTTAATAAACTGTCACAGAATTCTGGTGGGTACGTGTTCTTTTCGATTTATGTACTGTCTTTGTCGCAAAAGATGTGGTTTAGTAAACCAGTTTTTGATGATCTCCAGGTGCTAGCCTATTTTTCTATTTGATAATGCGGCTATGTATACTAAGTTAAAGATAGACAAATCTATCCAGGAATCCACTTTCGAGGATTTTAAGGATTTATTGATTTCAAGGTGGTGATGGACACCACTTTTATATCTGGAAATCTATAGCCCACTTTTCTGAGACTGAATCAGAGCACTTTACTAGTCAACAAAGAGTATGCTTTCTCCTCAATACCTAAATCCTTATCAGGTCAGTGAAATGATTTATCATCATCCTTAAATTATTTGTTCTTTCGTTTGTGCACTTTGAAAACATCAGTAGGGCACTGCTAGTTGTGACTGACCAACAAAATCGATGTAAATCCTCGCACACAGGTGCTTTGACTGGAATTACCACGTTTCACAGTAGTACACAAAGAACAGGCGGATAAAGAAAGAGCGATATCAAAGTGGAAAAAATTACTTGCGAGAAGTAACAATCTAAAGACAACAGATAGGGCAAACGATCAATCTTCATGAGATGTCAAGGAGTGAATATATATATCCCATTGTCACCGATTTTCAACCATGCCACCAAGTGGTCCACCACTGATTCTTTGCGTCTTCGGGACCCCAACCAAACAATCCAGATCTCCTCACATAGATCAGGCCAACAGTAAGAGACTTCACCGACTGTACAACGTCTTCGTCTGGCAACCCTGAGCACCCCCTCCTCCAACCTAATCCAACTTCCCCCAGCATGGCACATCGAGGTAGGAGGTGGTAATGAAGTGGCGTGACATGCGCAGTGCTTGTCTAAGCCATCTCACTCGACTAAGGTTCACAACTTCATCAATCGACTTGGCCAGCTTGCCTAGTGCCTTTTGCCTGACTTCAGCATTGCTCATACAGTGATGCCACCAAACACGAGTGCTGTAACCAAGACATCTGTGACTAAAATCAGGTAACCACTTCATGTCTCTTACTTTTGACAACCATGTCTCACAGACGTACAACATGACAAAGAGGACTGCAGCTCAGTATACTCGTTCTTTGATAGATATTTGGATATCTCACCAGTCAGGGCAGCAGGTGATGTGAATGGTAAATGCCAAACAGGCCTTCTATATTCAGGTGGTATTCATTATTCTAAATCCCCACAAACCCTCAAACGTCTATATTCAACCTGAGATTTTTTTGTGGGCTGATGTAACTCCTCAAGTAAGTGAAGTGGTCGACACATTCCACCACTCCACTTCCTATCATTTTACTGGAAGTACTTACAGTAGACCAGTCAGTCCTGGAGCATCATCCTACATTTGATGAGTGTGAAAAGCATGCCAAACATACTCAGATTTCTGCTCAACGCCTCCAGAAGACCCTGCATTTTGTCAGCGTCTTCACCTACCATGACAATATCGTCTGCATACTTCAAGTCAACGAGATAACCTCCATGCAGTAGATCAATCCCTGTGAAGTCAGACTTACCCAAGGTTATGTCCATAAGTACATCTAATAAGGAAGCTACATGGGGACAGTGACAGTGGATATCACTACTTGTCGTCGATTTTGATGACAACCCTCCATAAGCCCTTATGTGGCTGCATGAATTCGAGTAGAGAGCTTCATTAGCGTTATATACTTGCTCGCTACTCCCTACACAATCAGACTCTGCCACAACACCTCACGATAGACAGAGTCAAATGCTGCCTTCACGTCGAGGATTCAGGCAAGTGTCGGCCACCGGTAAGTATGTCTGTGTTCCAGAACTTGTTGTAGGGTAGAAATGTGGTCGATGAACCCTCGTCCAGTTCTGTAACCTGCCAGGTTTCCTCGAGTTCGGTTTTCTCCAGCTCCAGTTAGTCAGGGGTCGGATAACTATGGATCCTAGGATCTTTGACACAATACCATTCGGAGTGATTCGCCTATGGTTGTCGCAGGAAGATTTCTCTTCCTTCTTATAAACTGAGATGGTCAGTGAAGTAGACTAATCTGATGGCACTACCTCTGATTCTCATGCGCCACCTAGAACCTCCGTCACTTTAAGTTAGAATTTCTCACCTCCATCCTTGAAAACGTCTGTTGGTAAACTGTCAGGTCCTGCTGCTTTGCATCGTTTCAGATTCGATGCAGCTTTCTCAACTTCAAGGAGGGTTGGAGGATGGACGTCAACGTTCCATTGACGTTCAGGCTAGATGTTGGGCAACTGAAGCGTTGCTGAGGGCCAGTTGAACTGTGCTTCAAAGTGTTCTACCCAACGTTATAGCCACTCGTTCTATGAGGTTATCAGGGTACCATCCTTTTCGGTGATTGTCTCACTAACCATCATCTTCTTTGCAACATCCTTAAGAAGCCTAACTAATTGCCAGGTGTTAATTAACGCTAAAACCTTTTCCATTTGCCTCGCTTTCGCCACTCACCATTGTTCACGACCGACCTGAAGACTCTTGCCCAGTTTACGTTTAATTTGCTTTCGCTTTTCATCATGGTCAGAGACAATCATCTGGAATGAGTCTTTTCGCATGAATCACTTTGGTTGACGTCACGAAAGTCGAGTGACATTTGCTAGCTTGTGGGTGTGGGTTTCCAATTTTCTGTACTGCCGTTTATACAGCAGACATAATCTGACACCAGGTGTCCTCATGATGAGTATTTCTGTCATGTTCCTACAAATGCTTATGCATCTTCCCCTAAATGCCTAGTTGACGTTCTCATCTTCCAATTGACCTCAGACAGGCTTTACCATCAGATTCTAAACATCCGGGCCATAGTTGTTACGAATTTCCTTAAAGAAGTTGACCGCCGAGTCAGGTTAAATCATTATATCAGTAAGTTTCAATGTAATCCCAGCGTGTTTCGGAAATCTGGAACACGAGTTTTCCTAACGTTTTGCTGTGTATGCCACAGCTTCATCAGCAGAATATTTGGATAAAGCGAAATCTCCAGAGAAATCTTGTTTCCAATTTTCTTAACACACTGGAATTATATTAGAACTTACTTATATATAAGGCTTTACTATCGCCTCTTTTGTGCGACTAATATGGCGTAGACATTCACGTGCTTGTACTAACGCGTGATCGGAGTCCAGACTGGTACTCCAGAGAGAGCGTCAATCCTCCACCGATCATCCATGATGGCTGGCCTATAACAATATGATCTATCGGTGTTCATCGTTTGTTTGTTGTCGGTGGACGCCATATGAGACTGTCTCTCCTCATGCTTGATGAAGTTAGTGCTGGTCAGAAACTTGTGATTGTCAGAGCCTAATTTCAACAGAGCAATATCGTTGTCGGTTTATTGTTGCGTGATTCCATAAACACCCTCAAGATGTTCTACCGATTTACTCAGCTCGTCTTCTTGAGTGTTAAAGTCACCTGCAATTATGACTATATCTTATCATTTTGCTTTCTGTTGCAACGTTGACAGCTTCGCATAGAATTCATTCTTTGCATCACACAAACTTCAGTCTGCGGGTGCGTAGGTGGATATTATGAATAGGCATCGGTTGGTCTCACGATGCTTCCTAGTCCGTACATATTCAGTCAGTCGAACGGCATATAGATAGCTGTTGATTGGTATCCATTTGAGAACCTCACGTTTTGTGATAAAACTCAATGCCTTGCCTACACCAGCGAGTCCACGAGAGGTAGCCACTGGATGTTCGGATACTCGTAAGGTGAATTTTGAATATTCACAGCACTGGTCGGGTGAGGGGAATCTAATAGGCCCACTCGGATCCTGTATACGTGTCTCATAGGTATAGCACACGTCCACAGTTAGAGATTTCAGGGTTTTGGCGAGCGATGCTTGCTGTCTGATTTGGCATAGAGTTTGGATGTTGAAAGCTTCTACATGAAATTGATGGTGGGTCTCAGAAGACTAGGAATGAGGTGTCTATGGATTTGGTCGTTGGGAATGGTTGCAAAGTGAGAGGTTTGGTAGGCTGTAGGAGGCTCAATATTAATATCAGGAGGTGAAGACCGAAGAGGAGACAGAGTTGAGTGGGATAGGTTGTTTGTTTGGTTTTTGTGTACTACTGGGAGGATGTGGGCGGTTGACACTTTGTGGCTTCTCACACTGCGGAAGGTTATTATTTCTTTAGGTACCTACCTGGCAGAGAAAAAGACTTGTTTGACCTCAGGCCCTTTGGGACATGTGTTTGGGACCTATCACACGCTCTTTTGGGGGTTGTTGCTTTGAGGTTTAGTTGTTTTAACGCCCACCAGAGAGGATGCATACCACTGGCGCCGGAAGATCGTAGGCCAGATGGAGTGTGTTATTTTAGGGGTGAACGTTTTCTAAACCCCTTCCTGTTGGGAAGGTAGCGTCAGGGTGGCACTGCTGGTCATCCATGGGAAACCTCTTACTGCTGTCACATCCCATCCAGGTAGCGGTAGTATGACTTCGCCCTAAGACCCTTATTATATTTTAGTAATTTGTACTGTAAGGGTGCTTGCATTTCGTCTTACTACTATGCAGTGGATTTTTCTAGCATGGTGGGACCTCGAGGAAACAAGAGTTCCAGCTAATGTAGCTCATTGTATTATTGTGAGACGAATCCTGTTTACGACGTCTAGTTAAGGTTTATCGGTCATTTCTCCTGATTGTACTTCATCTTTTATGAGTGTTAATGTTAGTTTTACTTTTTGAGGTGTCTGTTACAGGATATCTTGCTGTGAATCGGTTATTTGATATTACTTCTATCATAATTCTGCTTTAGGTGTATGTATATATCTGGTGTCCCCGGTACTGGGAAAACTGCTTCAGTTCATGCTGTGTTATCCACAATGCATAAATTGGTTGTTGATTCTAGTTTAGAATCTCAGATACCTGCCTTTCAAGCAATTTATGTGAATGGCATGCGTGTCAATGATCCTAAACAGATATACATGCAAATATACGAAGTAAGTTGTATTGCTTCTCAATCATTGCTTTTATTTCTTTGTATTTTGTAGTTTCTCAGTAAATTCAATCATTAATTGATACTCTTAATATGCAGGTGTTTTGCATGTTGATTCTGCTAAAATTATTGTGTGCCAACGTTATTAGGTGTTAAAAGCTTCACAATGTAATGTTATAATTAAGTTTGATAGGTCAGGAATATGTGGATATGCTAGGAAGTGGTGCTGTTACAGTTTATAAAGGTGACTGGGACTCGGAGTATTTGCCATCTCAGCCGGCTTGAGTGACTGTACAAGTCATGACTTCTCATTAGATCTTCGGGAAGATCTATCTCCAGGAGTATCTCTTGTAAGGGCTACACAGTATTTCAGTTTTGTAGGTTTGTAGGGATTGAATGATTTCATTATGTTATGAATGTTGTTTGTCACTGATTCTAAGCACTGCTGTGTGACATCTACAGATAAAAGATCTATTTTACAAAACAGGTTCGACTGTTGAGAATAGTAAGGATGTCGTTTGGTTCTAGACCTAAATTTTTTAAGTATTATTAGAAAATAAACATGGTACAGAAAGGGCACCAAGAAATGGGTCACACCAAATAATTTAACTACATTAGCAAGACGTAGAGCGAAGGGAAGTGAATAAAAAGAAAAACACAATACGAATAGAATTATTAAAAAGGCAGTCCAGTAAGATACATTCAAAACAAAACCTTTGTACTCACTATCCTCTGGAATAGTCCGATTGGTGTCAAGAAGTTGCATGGAGCTTACGGAGACGGAGTGTTTATTAGCGGGACGTTGTTCCAAGCATCAAGCGGCTTTACTTGCCATTTTCATGGCGTCTTGCAACTGCAGCCAATCCTCGTCTACAATTTCTGGAGGACCGGTAGCTAGCCTTAAATCTAGCTCGGATTAGTATTTAGCTACAATATTATGTGCAACTAATATGCTTACATCAACCTACTTAGGACGACGATTTTGATGACCACTAAATTTCAAGGCAAGCTCAGCACCCACTTAAGCATAATCAGGGTCTATACAAATACTCCATATGGAGCGGCAGTCCTGTATGCACCCAGGCCATCGGTAACTGATTGGGGTATGATGTGTTCGAGTCTAGGCTTGAGTGGTAGAGGGAAGACAACAAGCAGTACAACGGCGATAGCTGTGCTGGAAGTTGGTACTGGGTAGAAACAGGTTGTGATCTGTGCAATGCTGCAAAAGACCATCCCCATTGTCCGACCTGCGAATAACTAGTTCTGATTGGCCACCTAAACGATTCTTCTTTGAGGCTAAACGCTTAATCTGTTAATTGAACTCCTCAGCCAGCACTGCGATATCTGTCGAGCGCACTCACTTGGTGATGGGATTCATCCTTGGTTGCATCCGGGCCGCATTTCATCGGAGCATAGGCGGAGATGACAAAAAGACATCGTTTGTCTTCCTGGTTACATTCTACTAGACGTTAACCTTCTATCCTAACTCCACAAAGACAACTGTTGGTGGGGATCCAGTTGACTGGTGCAGCTTCGGCTTGAGCGCTTAGTGCGACACCGGCACCAGCAACGCCGGTTGCTTATGTCATTGGGTCCTTCGATAGACACACATGAAACACTCTTTCCGAGCTGACAGTTGAAGAAATAATTCGAAGCACTTCACTGGGATCTTGCATGTGGGTTTCTGAGATGCTGCATACATCAGTAGTGAGGCTTTCCAGAGTCCTAGCCAAACCTGCCTGTTGTCTTATCAGTATCAACGTGCAAACGTTGAAGGTGGTGAGCTTAAGCGGTAAACGATGTTTCAGGATAGCTGTGTCAAAGGTTGCACTAGGGGGCAGCTTTATGGGGACAACTGTTTAGTGACTCAAAAAGAATACAGACAAACTAGAAGTCCGAGAAATGGAGAGCGTCTGAGTGAAATGAAGATGAACACAAAAATGATAATCATAAAAAATACAGTTCATACGTAAAAACAATAAATTGAACAGTCGGTTATAGAATTCGTAGTGGGGATATTCGTAGGAAAGTTGATTAATTCCTTCAAAATCTTGACTTTATACTGTAAATTCGTATTTTGTATCAGAGCTAGGTTACTGCCCGGGCACCCAGACCTACTCAGGTGGTTGTCTTAGTGGACCACTCCCCGAGCCTTTGACTAGAAATATAATCCACAGGACAGTAGAGCAACATCGAAGCTGTACTCCTGTGGTCGCCGGTGACCAAAATGGATTCATTTGCCATTTGTTTTATGTACACCATTGGTTTGGGTTCTCCAACTCCCCCAGGTGGACCCTCAATATCCACCAATCCGAATACTTACTTTCGCCCTTTCACTTCTGTGGAAATGTCCCCTACCTCCTGAAAGCAGTTAAGAAGAATTCCCTAGCAGAGGCTGTGAATGCATACCAGGCCACTTGGGGATAGGCGTAGATTATGGTATTGTTATACAGATGCACTGAGGCCTTAACCAGTGGACTGTATCGAGTGGTCTGCACGTGATTGCATATTGAACGCGAATGTTATGGAGTTGTCTTCGTTGAGCATTGCACTAATTGTCGTGTACGTACAAAGGTGGGTCAAGACCGTAGCCAAGCAGTGTTTGATGAAAGCTTTAGGAGCCATTCGTTGTTTGGTGAGCAGTGTGCGCTTTGCAGTTAACTTGGTGTCCTAAATAGATCTGGTGATTTGCGTTGAGGCTTGAACAGCTGTTGGTATTTCACAGAGATGTTGGTCGCTGTAACTTAAATAAGTCATACTGATGTCAGGAAATTTTGGGAACAATGAATTGCATGGTAAAATAGGAGTCATTTGAATTGGTTAGGTATTTGGTTCGAATCGTTCACATTCATGATTTACTATTCCCGACATGCGTGAGAAAGTGTAATACCGAAAGTAGACCCATACTGGATTCAAAACAGCGACGACAAAGAATGGATAGAAATTCAGAATATCATCTGATGAATTAAAGTCGCCTATTCAAAGTGATCATGGAAGGTAAGTGAACTGATTAAGTTGACTCTGTTTATCTGCATACTTTTCGAAGAAAACATGGTCTATGAAGTGCAGGATCAACTTAACAGTGCAGTGAACTTGGTTAATAATGTTGCACTGGTTAAAAAATCAACTTACAGAACTGTCGGTTGAAAGTTGAAGAAGCGTTTCAACTTGAAAATCCTTTAGCGCAGTACTCCAGAATTCAGTTCAGAAGTTCGCTGTTTCCGAAACTACATTTTCACAATGTTTTCAAGAAGACAACTTGCAGCAATCTAAGTGTAGCTCTCTCCACGTATCCTGATAGTTTTAAAAAGCTCAGCTAGTTTGAGTTGGAAAGAGATACAAATACCAACTTCTGTCATTGCATGCAGCAAGCGCCGAAAGAACTTATTTCATTCTCAACTAGTGAAGTGGTCGCAACCTACAATTGGAGATGCAGTTAATGATAAGTAAGACAAATGCAAATGAAACAAATCTCCAGTTGAATTGCATTTTCGTTACTATTAACACAAAAGGATCCAACATCATGTCCTAACGGATATGAAATTATAGGGAACCCCACGTTCATTGGAAGGCAATCACTAGCAATGTTGTGCTCTTCGCTTCACTTATTTTTCCATTTATTTAAAGCGAAGCAGATGCAAGATGCTCAGCTGAAAATGTGCCTTGTAAATTAATACTACAACATTATTATTAGTATATATTACTTGTACGTTGGGTTCCTTGGGGTCCCTAGTGGAACATAGGGCTTCAGCAGCACGTCTCCACTTCACTCTGTTCTCTACAGTCTTTTCAACCTGGATCCACGGCTGCCCACAAGCTTTCATTTTTTCCTCACATGATCTCCATGCGACCCTCGGACCACCAACTCGCACTTTCCCCTTTGGGTTCCACTCGTGATGTCCTCAAGTGCTCTTTTCAGTGTATCCCCAATCCATCTCCACTTTCTCCTAATACTTGTTGGGTGATAGGTTCTTGTTTGGTTCGTTGCCAGCCAGCCAGAGTTCCCTGTTGCTTATTCTTTCTGGCTATATGATCTTCAGTATCGAATGAGCGTAGGCAGCTGTTAATGTATGTCCGTAGTTTGTTGGAAATGCTTTTCGTAACAACAGTGTTGAAAATCCGGATCTTGTTCTTTGTGCTGCGTGTAGTAGATCTCTACACTGATTTCAGGTTAATGAAGGCCTGTCCTGGCTTTGACATCCTCATCTGTGCCTGTGCCGTCTGTAGTTGAAACTACACTGGCTAGGTAGGTGGAAGAGACAACTTCCTTAAGATTTTTCCCGTCGGTGATGATTGTTATTGTTGGTTGGGTGTCTTCATCACCTCCGTCTTCTCTATGTTCCCCCTGGAGTCATGTATTCACCATCTCTTCTGTCAACTTGTTGGCTTTTGCTTGTAGATCTTCGAGTTTGTGTGACAAGACATTAGACATAAGTCATCATCGACGAAATCCAAATCTTCTCCTGGGGTCTTTTCATCGGTCCAGCGTATGCCCCTCTTCTCAAAGCTCCTCACGGTCTGCTGCATGATCCAGTCGACCACAATCAGGAAGATCATCGGTGATAGTAGACTGCAGCCTTGTCTTACTCCTATCTTCACTTCAAAGGTATCACTGAACTTTCCATTGTGAATCACTTGGCATGCAGCACCATATAGCATATATCTATTGAATGAGGTTGATAAAGGTTTGTGGTATTCCGTAGTGTTGAAGCAGTTTCCAAATTACTTCTCGGTTGACGCTGTCGAAGGCCTGTTCAAAATCGATGAAGTTGAGGTAGAGAGTTAACTGCCATTCTATGATGATGTGTAGGGTTCCAAACCTTCTGCAGTAGTGGTGTGAGCATATCCGCTGCTGTCTCTCCATTTGTTTTCAGTGCTTCTGGAGGAATTCCATCTGGTCCTGTTGCTTTCCCGGATTTCAGCAACTTCACAGCGTTCAGGACTTCGCTTCTACTTTTGTCGGAGGGTTTATGTTCACTGGTAGTTCTGCGGTTGCTGGTGGTGGTTGATTCAAGAATTTTTTGAAGTGATCGGCCCATTGTTTCTCCTCTTTGGTAACTAGGTTTCCTTTACTATCTTTCATCGGTTTCGTCTGCGTTGATCTCTTCCCAGATAGTAGCCTGGTTATTTGATATATTGTTATCCGGTCTCTGTCTCTCCTACCTGCAGCCTGTTCTGCTTCATTTGCCAATGTGTTGTAGAAGTGTCTTTTGTCTTTCTATGCACTCCTCTTCACTTCTTTGTCCAGTGTAGTGTTTTATACGTTGCACTCAGTTCCTCGACTCGTGAACAAGTTAACCTAGGCGAGGTTACTCCAACATTAGGAAGACAAAAGACTGATACGGAGGGATTCAGAAGAAACAAGTGCATAAACAAAAGTGGGGATGAACGATTTCGGAAGGTTCACTCGGAGGAGGATTTAATAATTCAGTTTTACCCTTCATTAATGAACAAAAACTGTCAGGAACAGTATGCTCATCATTGGTCTAGGTTCTGAGCCACGTCTGGTATCGTTGTGTAGCTCCTTGCACCCTGTTCACAATACAGTGATACATCTATGTATAATAACCCAAGCCAACCATGTCTCATCTCATGGCACCATATCATGCAATAGCCATCTCTTCGCTTCTCCCAGCTATTCCTATCGCAAACGATCATTAATAACACACATCACAGGTATCGCAAACAGGTGTTTGAAGATGACCACACTTAGTGAAAGACGAACTTCGTGCCCAGGAACACTTCACATCACCTCAGGATTACAGAAAGCGTTTGTGCAAGCAATCGAACATGCGGAACTGTTGGACACCTTCAAGTCAGAGAGACTAGGTTTCACAAACATAATGCGTAACTGCCTGCACCTTTATGTGTTGTACATCTGACCCTTTACTCTATGGCTTACTTCACGATGGTGCAAATGTTGACTTAGATTGGTGTATACCACTCTGTGTTTCTATAAGCGGTCGGAAATCAGATCAGTCATACTACTGCTAACACACATAACTATTCAGGTACATAAACTTTGAAGAGTTTTAGCTGTTCAGCAATGGTGAGTAGAAGTACAAACAGAATTCTATCAGTCTTATAAATGCACTTTGGACCGATAGCTTCTACCGTTATCTACTGTTCGGGGTTGTATATCACGTTGACTCAACAAGCTACACTGGGTGGAACCCTTGTTGCCTCGAGGTTCTGCTATGCCATGAAGGCCTGTCGGATGGCTATAAGACGAAAGGCAGTTACAGTTGTAGTACAGAGTGTTACACTGTGGTAAGAGGGGCGTGGAGGAAGTCGTACTGCTGGTGGTGGATGGGTTTGCGACGGCAGTAAGGTGTTTTCCTTGTATGACGAGGAGTGCTACTCTAATTCTGCCCTTTTTATGGAAAGGTAGGTGGCAGAGGTTAGAAAAGCCAGGTCCCTAAAACTACTATGGGTTTTCTGTATCCATGGTTAGGATATCCAAACCTCCAAAACAGCATCTCACAAAAGGCCGTGGGTGAGAGGCCTCAGGCAGATCTTCCGTGGTCTCTATAGTCACACATCTTTTTCTCTTCCAGATACCTTTATAAGAAGTAGTCCTCCACTGTGTAGGCAGCCAAGATGTGTCTGGCACCCGTACGCTTCCAGTAGTATTCCAGACCCATTTAAACATAAGCTGTACTCCTCAACTCTGTCTCTTTCTTAGTCTTTACCTCTCACCGCTTCCTCAAGCTCTCACTGTAACCATTGCCAGTCATCGAAACCTCATTGATCGTACAAAAGCTGTTTAATATTGACCACTATATTTAGTGAGATGGCAAATACTTTTGTTTTGCGCAAAAGCCGACTAAGTTTAGCTGCTGCTTCTCTTCGCGCTGACTCGTGACCTCGGTAAGGGGCTGAGCATGTTAAGTGTGTTGGAGCGGCATCTCTGCTTGTTTAACGTTTTCACGGATAGTCAACATATTTTGATTAAAACATGATTTTTTGCACAATTTTCTTTTTGTCTAGATCCTTGTTTCATTTGATTGAATACAACTTCACATAAGTTTCTTGTCTTAGCTGACATTTCAGAGCACATTCCTCAACAGGCCTTATATAACTAGTTTGACTTCTTCTTTAAAAAGAACTGTAACCTTCTGTCATTTCTGAATTGGTTTATTCTTTTCGATCCTCAAAGCTCCTGGTACTTATAGGTATACTGAAAATGTTTATTGCTATTCTTCACTTTTTTTTCAGATTCCATGCACCCTATGAAAATCCTACAGGATACAATAACGCCATCTTTTTCTGTAAATTATGTTTTCATTTCGCTATTCAAGTTTATTAGGTCTTTAATTGCAAATTAGCAGATCAAGCACAGGGTTATCCTTCTTTATACCGATGTAGCATGATTCATCATATATAAGCTTCTAACATTGAGGAGACAGCTGAACTTTGCCTTTTTTGAGGAGTGAAATCCAGTTGGAAATGAAGCTATCTTAGAGATTTTGGCGCAGATTATTCCACTTTGACCCTGTTTTTCAACTTACAGGGGTGCAACTTTACTGACCGAAACCCATTTTAGTTAGCTTAGAAATTTCGTAGTGACTGGATGGTGATTTCATACTACTCTCCTCTGTAATCATCCTATCGATGTGGTTTGTGTTTGCCTTCTTTGTCCATATAACTCACTTATCCTTCCCTTGTTTCCACTGCCTAATGGTAATATAATAATGATTTTTATATCAAATAATCTTAAGCTGCTTAGGAAGGTGGAGAAAGATAAATTCTTTAAGTATTGTTTCAGGTTTTTGAAAATGCTTTCAGTAAGCAAGTTAGATTCTTGCAACTAATCAGATTTTGTAGAGGGGGACTTCAGATTAATATGATGGTAATGTTAGAGTATTTCTTCAACATGTTATTGAAGCGCTCGCCCTGATGCATCATGTGGTATGGTTTCTATAAAGAATCAAGAAGTTTACGTTAAGGTGAACTATATCAAAAATCATCAAAAATGCAAACCGGTTAGCCAAATGCAATTCGAAATGATTGCATTTCTTGCAGTAACCAAAGACAATGATCGTAGACTGAACTAAGTTATGCAGATATCTGAAAACTGTTGAAGTAAAAAATTACCCATTAGTTTAGGTTAAGTATTTATCCACTTCACTTGTTTTTTAAAAGTAAATCTGTATTTTTTTTTCGTTTTAGCAATTGACTGGTTTAACCGCTACTTCAAAGTGTGCATCTGAATTACTAGAAAGAGAGTTCTGTCATACCGTCATTAGGAAAACTTCTCATGGTGAAGATTCTAATAAACCTGTTATTTTGGTCATTGATGAGTTGGATCTACTGTGTACTCGACGACAGGATATACTTTATAGTCTTTTTGATTGGCCTACAAGACAAAATAGTCGTCGTACTTTGGTAGTACTTGCAATAGCTAATACTATGGATTTACCAGAACGTTTACTTCACCCACGTGTGGCTAGTCGTTTGGGCTTAACTAGGCTTACTTTTGCACCCTATTCTCATGAACAGCTTACTCGAATTGTTCGACACCGACTTTCTTCTTTATCAGACTTGTTTCAAGTTAGTGTTCTGTTAGTGATTATATAATATTTTTAAAAAAATGTCACTGATTTTATTTTTCCATACCTCTGCGTATTTAATTTCTAGTGAGTTGTGTACTATGTTTAATTAGATGAGACAGCCGGCAAAATATTTCAAGTTATGTCATGCAAAGAGTGCTGCCTAATTTCGGAATGAGCAGTTTACGCTTACTATCTTTATTGAGCATCTGCAACTCATTATATTATAATTCAGCAACCATCTACACTTCCATGCTATCTTCAGGTTGAGAAATACACCTAGTGTTGTTCGTTGGTTTGTGTGCCTGTGTTCTAGAACCTGGTGAAGTGTAAATATCTGGTTGATACACGCACGTTCTGCCTAACTTCCTCAAGGTTTCTCCTCCGAGCTACAATCAAAAGCCTGGTGATAATGGGAAATTGAGTCTTAGACACTATGTAGCTCAGTGCTTTACGGAGATAACTACCAACCATTGGGTGACAGGTTCAAACCTCGCTCCACCCACTGAAGCTTGAACAGCCAGGTTAATAGCACCAGCCCTCACAAAATAGGTGTGGCTCATTGCCTACTGGGAGAATGTGCACAAAGTAGCTACGTGCGTTTCGTTTGGTTCAACACACTACGTTCTTCTGACTGATTCCCCTGCGGTTATCACAAGAGGTTTTCCCCCTGCTTATAAACTGAGACAATCAGTGATTGCGACCAGTCTGAGGTGTACGCCTAATTCCCATACACCAGCTGCCACCAACATTAAGTACCTCTGAAGCTAGTCAATATGACTATGCTTCCCTTCCTCGCTTCACGTTGCGTTTAGCGTAGCATTTTTGCTCTGACAATCACAAGTTTCTGGCCAGCACTAACTTCATCAAGCATGAGGAGAGACAGTCTCATATGGCGTCCACCGACAACAAACAAACGATGAACACCGATAGATCATATTGTTATAGGCCAGCCATCATGGATGATCGGTGGAGGATTGACGCTCTCTCTGGAGTACCAGTCTGGACTCCAATCACGCGTTAGTACAAGCACGTGAATGTCTACGCCATATTAGTCGCACAAAAGAGGCGATAGTAAAGCCTTATATATAAGTAAGTTCTAATATAATTCCAGTGTGTTAAGAAAATTGGAAACAAGATTTCTCTGGAGATTTCGCTTTATCCAAATATTCTGCTGATGAAGCTGTGGCATACACAGCAAAACGTTAGGAAAACTCGTGTTCCAGATTTCCGAAACACGCTGGGATTACATTGAAACTTACTGATATAATGATTTAACCTGACTCGGCGGTCAACTTCTTTAAGGAAATTCGTAACAACTATGGCCCGGATGTTTAGAATCTGATGGTAAAGCCTGTCTGAGGTCAATTGGAAGATGAGAACGTCAACTAGGCATTTAGGGGAAGATGCATAAGCATTTGTAGGAACATGACAGAAATACTCATCATGGGGACACCTGGTGTCAGATTATGTCTGCTGTATAAACGGCAGTACAGAAAATTGGAAACCCACACCCACAAGCTAGCAAATGTCACTCGACTTTCGTGACGTCAACCAAAGTGATTCATGCGAAAAGACTCATTCCAGATGATTGTCTCTGACCATGATGAAAAGCGAAAGCAAATTAAACGTAAACTGGGCAAGAGTCTTCAGGTCGGTCGTGAACAATGGTGAGTGGCGAAAGCGAGGCAAATGGAAAAGGTTTTAGCGTTAATTAACACCTGGCAATTAGTTAGGCTTCTTAAGGATGTTGCAAAGAAGATGATGGTTAGTGAGACAATCACCGAAAAGGATGGTACCCTGATAACCTCATAGAACAAGTGTATAGTGTATATTTATTTATTATAATTTGTGTGGACATAATCAGTGTGAGGGTGTATGTCTTTAAATTTGTGAAATTCTGTTCTTTTTTCTTTTGTAGCCTCGAGCACTTGAGTTGGCTTCACGTAAAGTAGCTGCTGTCTCGGGTGACGTTCGACGTGCTCTTGATATATGTAAACGAGCTGCAGAGATTGTTATATCAACTGGGAAGTCTAACAAAGAAATAAACATGTCTCATATCAATGCTGCTTTGAAAGAAATGTTTGCCACGACAAAGTGCGATGCTTTACGCAGTTGTTCAGTGTACGAGAAATTGTTTCTTCGTGCTGTTATAGCTGAGTTTCAAGCCCGATCAACAGAAGAAGCTCGGCTAGACCGGTGCATTCGTCAAATGTCAGCACTGTGTCGACTTGAAGGTTTGTGAAGTTGTTGCATTAACTTTGACTATTGAAGACGGAAGTTGACAATTTAGGCGTTACCCAGGTTAACACGAAGGAAGTGTATGTTACTTTTTACTCTTTGTGAAGCATCAGTTTTCCACTCACGCTCCACGAGCACAACGCTGTATACCTCACATCCGTTTACTAATACTACAAAAATTTAAAGTCCTTAGCTAAAACGTCGTGGATGGAATTCCCATCAGAATTTATTATGGGAATCGAAATAGGATAACTGAAATGCGTTCAGCAGGCTTGTGCGTATTCGCGCAGTGGACCGCGAGTCACACTTATTTTGTGGTCGCTAGTGATGCTGAAAGAAACTAGAAGACAGATAAAACAACAAGTGGGACATTAATCGTTAAATATGGTACACCTTGCACTAATACCGTCATTTGCAAAATGTGCTTCGTTTCCTCTTCTGCTTCTTTCTTGGCTTGTTCTTCATACGCCTGCCTTGTCTCTTGGCCGAACCCTCGCCCATTGCTGGTAATTCTCTATGATTTCTGCCACCCTCAACATATCATCATCATCATTATCAACATAGGGCCAGGCATTACTGCGTAACGGTCCGAGTCGCCACACCTCACGTCAGTTCATCAAGTAGAAAGGTAGTGAGGTGAAGGATGAAGATAAGTGAATGCAGTCAAAAGAAATATAAAGTACGAGAAGAAAGGAAAGAGGAGTGAAAAATTGTGAGATTCAGTATAGCGTTGTTAAGATGAGGATAATGTGTGTATACATCTGCGCCACTGACTTCGGTTCTGAGCCATATCACTAGAGTCTGCAACCACTGGTTCTTCTTGTCCCGTGGACCCCAACCACCTAGTCTGCATCGTCCTACATGGCTTAAACCAACAGTCAGAGACTTCATACATTGTTGCCATGTTTTAGTCTGGCCACCTCGGGCCTTTTTCCAGCCTGGAGCCACCTCAGCCAACATTGTGTGACGAGGCTATCGGTGACTAGGCATACATAGTACGTGTCCCAACCATCTCAGTCGATGAAGGTTCACAACCTCGTCAACTGACTTACCTCTACTCCCCAAAACTCAACACACTTAACCACTTCACTCTCTATTCTTAGCCGCGGTACCTCTGAAGACCAGTCCTGGAGCAAAAATTTGCATTTGGGTGGTGAAAATCGCATCCCAAACATTCTCAAATTCCCACTCAAAGTGTTCAGAAGACTCTGCATCTTGTCAGCATCTTCACCTAACAGGACTATGTCATGTCATCTGCATATTCTAGATCTAAAGAAAATTCACCTGTGATCGGGTCAACGTCTGTGTAATAAGGTGACGAGAGGGAGACCTCCATAAGAATATCTATGATGAAATTAAATAAGAATGGGGATAGTGGGCATCCTTGACGGACACCACTTGGTGAGTATAGCTCCCTGGACAACTCGCCATAGGCTCTTACATGCCCACAAGTGTTCGAGTAGAGAGCTTTCAATAACGTGATGTACTTACTAGGCACACCTTTCAGTGACAGACATTGCCATAAGACTTCTCGATCAACGGAGTCGAATGCCACCGCCTTTAGATCGAGAAATACAGCTATTGTCGGGCGTCTGTAAGCATGCCTATGTTCCAGGACCTGGCGCAGTGTGAATATTTGGTCGATACACCCGTGGCCAGGTCTAAGGCCTGCCTGGTTTTCTCGGGCTTGCTGTTCCCGAGCTCCACTCAGGCGTCGGAGAATTATAGAACTTAGGATCTTAGACACTATGTTCGTCAGGCTGATTCCTCTGTGGTTATCACAAGAAGACTTCTCGCCTTTCTTGAAGACTGGGATGATGAGTGACTTAGACCAGTCGGAGGGGATCGTATTTGATTCCCATATACTGGCTAACACTTCCTCAACATATACTACTTATATCCACTCTTATCAGCAACGCTCACTACAATACTTCACTACTTGTCTGGCCAAACCGTGGTAGATGAAACGCGATTCGGACTCGTAACCTGTGGGTTGAAAGTCAACTGCCTAAACGAATGAGCCACAGCTTGCTAGTAATCACACATGAACGATGATGACAGATTCATACCAGTCAAATTATCACTGTTTGTTTCTTATGATGCAAAGGGTATAATTTGGATATTCGTTCACTCATTCTTTTTAAAGTTCATAGAATAATAACTCGCTGAAATTCTACAAGCCATTATGATAACGTTATTGTCAACTCTTCAATGCTTCAGTGATAGGAATTAGTATCATTGACTATTTCTGGATAAAGTAACTTGTGACCTGTAGTATCATTCATCCCTGCTCATACCACTTTATGTTTTTTTTAGGTATTCTTTCCCCCTCTACATTGATGGTGCTCAATATTTGCGCGAGTCTAGGAGCTCATAAGCTGTTGTTAACTGAGAGATCGCGGTATGATATTGCAATGCTGTTCGTTTAAACTGCACAAAATCAGATGTATTATACTGTCTAGGTCAACAACGAAGTAAATAAATTTGGAATATTTGATCGAAGTATTGTATATTCTCCTTTTCTTAAAAATTTTATAGATGACGTTTTAGTCCCTTTCATACATGAGCTCTTTACCTTACTATATTTTTTAAAACTACTTACGTTTGGTTTTATTTTACATGAATTTGCAGTTGTGGTCATCAGTTTCTGTTTTATATTTTGATACTTCATCACTTTTTGTCAATTACTGGGAAATATTGATCACCCTTAACCAAAATCATAATAGTCTGTGCCGAAACGTTTTACTGTTATATCAAGAACAGGGACAATAATAAATGTATGATAAATCTTTATAATTGACCAGTGTAAGTGACAAGAGGAAGGAGAAGAACATAGTGATTGTTCCACAAGTTCCTCCAATAAAAACTGGAGGTCGTTATCTGGAACAGCAGTTTATCGTGGCCGGACGAATTAGTGCAAACCACTTGAAGTTATTTGTTGGTCGACTAGTATGATTTCAAGTCAATTATTAAGTGGACCCATTAAAACCAAATAAAATTAGGTATTGACTGGTTCAGTGAAACTAGTATGTATATGACTTTTGGGTACTGCTAAGAAGCAGGTACTTTTTCGGCGTTTACTGACTGAAGGCTGAAATTTTTGCAGTCAATTTGTGATCAGTAGTTATGGCAATGAGTAATCGGTTTCAATTTCTGACTAGTATGAAAATTGCTTCAGGTTTGGTTTCAAAATGATCGATGTATGATAAGGCTTTGGATGTTTCAGTCGGCCACTGATTGGAGCTGAAGTTGTTTGTATGTTATAAAGTTTTGTCTTCACATATGGCTTCCTAGACATCGACAACAGTAGTTGAACGAGCTCTGATAACCTTTATAAGATACATGATTTGATCTTTTACGGAAACTGCTACTATGACGACAGCTGGATTCAAAATTGGGTAGTCACTTATCGGACGTCATATTGGTTCTACTTATTTAAACTCATTTAGAGATCAGTATTAGATCTTAAAGTCATATCACTGGATTGAAACCAATCGTTATAGTTGATTTCTGAATGAGCTGTAATTAGGCTTTAAAATGTATGAAGACAGCATATAATTTGTCAGGAATTTAGATCATTTGAGGAGTAGCATCGACATTGTGCGATATTCTACAGTTCAGGATTAAAAAGAAAGCGATGTTTAGTGAAAATTATGGTGTTAGTGAGAAGCTTGACTACATATTAAGGACGAGCACAGTGCGTTCTGCTTTGTTATTTGACTGAGTCATGGTTGTTGATAGTAAACAATGTGGGACAGTTACAGGTTTTTGCCCATAGGTGCCTTCGCAGCATTACTCACTCGCTGTGTGAACAGTGCTGGAGTGAGGCAAGCCATTCGGTGACTCAGCTCCCTTCTTTTTTCCCCATATGCAGCTTGAACTCTGTCCAACTCTTTTATTAAATCCTGAGTTCGCTTAAAGCATTCTTTAAGGTTCAGTTGGTGATAGAGCTCCGACGCAATTGAGTAGGGTGTTTGTCAATTAAATTTGTTAAATTAGATGATAAATTTTGTTGGTGTTCAATTATAAATTGGATCTAGACATATCTCAAACAAATTGTCACAGCCTTGATAAACTGATGGTAATTTTTTGTCTGGCTGTATTTTAAGTGACTTTTTGTAACTTAATGATAATGTTTCGGAAAATATCAGCCATATCTGTATTAACCACGGTTGGTATTTGACAGTGATAGCGCTCAATGATCAGTTTATCGACTGAAAAATCATCCTGGCTAGTTCCGATAACACTGAGTAACGTTTAATAACCTAGAAGTCTTCGTAAATACCATAAGGACTGGTGGGTAGCGGGAACGAAAGAGACAGAGAAGATATCAGTATTCAGTCCTACTCAGTAGTTAATTAGGGAACAGATGCGAAGAATGTGGTGTTTAGTAGAAATATTATCGAGAAGGATAGTTCGCCACTTACCATTAACGACAGGCGGCTAGAACTGTAGAGGGTAAATTTTAAAAACACTTCAACTACCCAACAACCACGGTTCAGTTGCCCAGTATACAAACCCAAATAGAGCGTTGTTATTGATCTTCCTACTCTCCTCGAAGTTGAGAAGGCTTTTTCGGATATGAAGCGATGTACAGAGACAAGATTTGACAGTTGCAAGTTTGAAGGTGGGAAATTACGTAGCAGAGAAACTGAAATACTTAATAGTGTTTGAGGTCGGAAGTAGTCTTGACAGACCGGTGTAAATCGCTGATTATTCCAGTTTATAAGGAAGATGAGAAATCTTTGTGACAAACAGAATACTTTTAATGAACGTGGATCTAAGATACTAGGGTCTGTGGTCATGTGATGCCTAGAAGGAGCTTCAGAAATACATGTAGGTTGGTAGTCTGATCGACGTTTTACCAATCAGATCTTCATTATTTAACGGGTTCTGAAATAATAACCTGACGTCACCTCCGAGAACACAATACCTTCAAAAGTATATTTTGCTAATATAGTCACTACGCTAGCTCGTGGAACTGTTTCAGGACTCACAGAGAACTGTCATCTGTACTAACGACAACCAATGGTGTCCACCAAGTATGTCGAGTATTACCATTTTTACTCAACTTTTTTGTGGATATATGTCGAGCGTAGGGCACTAGCCAATTCCGTGTGTGAAATTGTGAATCTCAACTGACGAAAGTGACTTGGACGTGTTGCGCGCAACGAGCCCTGTGAGTTGACGAACAGTGAGTAGATTTCTACTGGTGAGTTTTCCGTCCACTGGTTTAGACACATGATCTTTATCCCATGCACTGAAAGTTCGAACACTTTTCCAGGCTTCCTAGTTGGTCAACATAAAAATCGTTTTCAGTTCTCGAAGTTTCGTTGCACAGTATGTTAATTTTCAGAGATAATCTTTACACAGATAACTCAGCAGTGGTCTAATAATGTGCATCGGTGAGAGAAACTGGGACAAGCGACTGATATGACCAAATGAGGTACAAATGTTTTACTTGCAGCATCCTCTGTATATCATTTACTGATGATCTGAAACAGCCATATGCATCCCTTGGCAAGTAAATGTGTGACCGGACTGTTCGAAATGTATTGGGCGAATACATCACATTTCTCAGAAAACCTCTGTCTTCTAATTACATTATGCAAATTCATCAAGGAGGCTAATTGTTTCGAATATATGAAACTGCTGATTTTGGTGAGTGCAGGCGAAATCGACATTCTCTAGGACTCAACCAGGGTTGTTTTTTAGGGGGATATGAAATCTAAACCAATGAAAAACAACAGTAGTACAATCACTTAGATCAAAAGAAAAGCATTATCACTTCATAACGGTATTTAACAGTTTGTGTATGAGAAATATAGTATCAAGTGATTGATGATGGGTTTACAAAATAGAGAAGCAAGTTAGGTAGATTTAATCTATAAATTATAATCGGAGTGATTTTTACCATCAATGATACTTAAACTAGTGAATGACTCATTTGTCCGTTTGTGATGCATTATCACTATTATGAAGAATAATAAAATTAACGAAAGGCATAAAAGAGATATAAATAATATCGATCGTAGACGGAATGAAATCCATCTCCATATTGATGACCATAGACGAATATTTAAAATACGATTAGCCACTTCAGTTTTCAGTATACCTGATATGCGTTCTAGGCTACCATTGTTAGGATTTGGTTGAATGTTAAGAATTCCACATAAAAGTGGATATATATCTACAGCATGAACAATAGGTACACTTTTTCCAACTTCGAAAGAAGGTCCACTTGCAATGAAGAAAGCGTGCATTTCAGAGAAATTTGTTGCATAACCATGATCACCAGCTAATGAGAACAAGAAAACATATTGCCAATGTTAATGTGAAAAATATACTTACAAATATATATACTTACAGATATACTTATAATAAAAATATGGGATTTTAAAGAATCTAAAAACTAATAGTAACAAATAAAATGTTTATTAGTTGGTTGGAGGCGAACGCGCTTGTCGGGACTCGTCAAATAGGTATGTTTGCAACCTCGAGGGGACTGATATCCTCCGTGAGCTTCGAACCCTTGTCACCCAGCGACTTTACCGTTGGAGCCATTCTGTCGGCGACTGATCTCCTGTAGGACTGCATCAGATATGTTGACTGGTCATTGGAGAGGAATCGATCAGGGCCGGACAACATAAAACTGTTTACTCTTCGGTGACTAGTCACTGGGAAATGATGATTATTCACTTTAGATCTAACAGTTTTTTATCCTATGAGATACAAAATAAAGCTTTAAATTTAGATATATGGATAGAAAGATTCATGAAGTCACAAGCGGATAGACAAACAGAAAACTGAATGCTTCGTAATAACAAAATGTCAGCAGCCAACTTCCGTGCAAAAAATAATTGTGAGACTAATAGTCATCAGTAAGACAATAAATAAGCGTTTGTTGTCGAAAATGTCTCTTTGTGACGATTTAAAAACAATGAGAATGAGATTATCGTGAATAGAATTCTCTTCGCTGAAATCTTTAGTCAGTTGAAGGTGTACTTTTAAATCTATCGACCAGGCTCAGAGTGCTGAGCAGTATTATAAATAAGTGAATAATTTAACATAAGGGACGCTGATCTAAAGTAGAATACGGGCTACCCTTAAGAGCCCTGGGAATAATAGTTCGAAGAATAATAAATCGCAAAAAACAACGTTGACCAAGACTGAAGACGTATCACATTTTTATTTAGTAAAAAACAAACCAGAAGGCACTAAGACAACTTTGTGCGGTAGGAAATGAGCCACTCTAACTGTATTAGGGTCAGTGTTATTGCCTTAATCTCCATAGGTGGAGCAGGGTGCTAACCCGTAACCCATTGGTTGAATGTCGATTGCCAAAACCAATGAGCCACAGCTCCTTATTTTGATGGTAGTATGTCTTAACAAAACTTGAAGGTGCTAATATAACATCAGAATAGAAACTTAAGATAGATAATCGGATCATTGGTACGAGATGAATAGAAAGAGTGAAGCAGTTCACACTAATCCTTTCAAGTTCAGAGGCTGAAGTTGACATATCGAAAGAAATTATTGAAATACATAAACTATAGTCCTCTGCATACTAAGCAAAACTATATTAACAAGGTTAAATCATTTCGAAAGAGAGGACAGGTAAGGAGGATAAATGGAAGATTGAAAGGGAAATTGAGATGTCTCTTTTTGTACAGACTGCAGCACTTTCCTTACAGAAAACACAGGACTTGAGACCTATCATATGAAGATTTTAAAGCGATATAATTCTATGGATGAAGTCGAAAACCAAAGTAGTATCTAGAAGGCAGCATCGAAGTAGACCGGACAAAATATTGCACGAAAGTTTCTTCTCTTTGTAAACGCATTCGCTAGCACTACTTTGTCCGTTCAATGAAAGTTAATGTATGATCAATAAGAGTTTTTGTATTGTTTCTAGAAACCAGAAAGCTATCACAGTTTCTATAAAACGAGTCACTAATCTATCAACGAAGAAACTGAAAACGATTGCACCTTTGTTCCCTTTTATTTAACGAATACTTTTCCGTGAAAAAGATTGTTTTATTTAAATAACGACAAAAGTACGTGCCATGCCTCCGCACCCCCGAATGTAGTGAATCCAATGTTTCTAGACATTGTTATTCTTGTGACTAGTGAAAACGATCTCCTGGAATAAAATAACAAAATTAACTTCAGCAATCAAACGAAATGATGTTAGTTACTTTAGAAATCATCGACAAATGTAAACAGACCAACTTACAGACTTTGCGTATGGATGGGAAGCATTCCTTACAATTTTCCAATAAGGTTTAGCAATGAGTATCAGTGGTGGCATACGAGAGTTGGTTACATTGAAATTCAGATAAGCAGGAACTTCATCTCTTCGATAAACGTCTAACTGAGGATGTGCATTCTTCAATTTCTGATAAACATATTCAAATTTCCCTAGAAAATAAGTCATATGGAATTCGTATTTTTTTACACATACTTAACAACTGGAGTATACGCCATCAATGCCAAAAATGCATACTGATAATTTAGTTTCATTATCTAGAAGTTGACCGACAGTTTTTTTCAAGTAGAAGTCGTGACAACCAAATTAGTTGTAAGTATGAGTTTAGTAGACAGGAAGTAATTTTATTTCAAAATGAAAGATGGGAAAATTATACATCACTTCAGAAGTCTTCTCTGCATAAGAAATGTTTTGGAGCAACGATTACGAAAGTACGCAGCACAATTAAGCTGTGAGTACCTTATCATGAATATATGCAATCTCCTAAACCAACCAATAACATTTCGTAAGCATAGGTGTACAGCGAAAATACAGATGTTGAATACAACTGTAAAACCTGACACGGAAATGCATCAGTTCAACTTGCCAAACTTCACAGCAAGATGAGAAAAGCAAGTAAACAGAAAAAGAATTGCATGTGAATAAACGTATGTATTAAAGGAAAGCAAATTAATAAATTAGGATCGTGAAAGGAATGTGACAAGGAGTGTCTCCATCCGCGCTAATGTGATTAACTTTGAGTCTTATCACAAAGTTTCCAAACATCCATTCTTAACGTCTTGAGCACCTTAGCTAGATAAACCTACATTTCACTATACAGCACGGACCAACAGGGAAAGACTTCATAGACTGGTGCAACGTCTTGGTTTGGAAACAAATAGCCTTCCTCCACACCAACCCTACTTCGGCTCACATAGGGGGTGGCTAAGTATGCTCGACTCATGTCTAAGCTGTCTAAATCAGCGAAGGCTCACAGTCCCATAGAATGACTTGACATCCTTACTTAAAACTATATACGCAAAACCGACATAAGTCACACGACAGCCTCATCATGGACGAGTAATGAACAGTGTGATAGTTAGACTCTTTTTTTAAGTAGTCAGATTCGACCTCTTGAAAATTGACGTATCTTCAGGTGATAGTAAACAGTAAATCATTTTCTTATCAGTTAACGCAATTAGGCTAGAATTACAGTCTGCGTTCAGGAGCAGAGAATGATAATGGAAATGGTTTCTAGTACTATGAACCATAGTCTTGCTGAAGCTAATCCGCTCGAAGCACTCTGACTGATTATCTTGTGATGGCATTTTAGCTATCAGCATTACCATAAATGTTCAGATAATAAACATTCAATAAACTTTAACTAAATGGTTCAGTTTCACGATATCTAATTATGTTATGACTGGTTGACGGTAAAAAGTTATTCATTCGTGTCTCAGATGAATATTAACTGCGGTGAAATAGATGGAATAAAACTTAGGGTAACAAGACTAGATTATGACATCAATTAGTGACTTCTTTGCCTAGTTGATCTAAGAAGTATAGGAAGGTGTAGGCTATTTGATGATAGGAATTGAGAGTTGAAGAATTTTCCGGTAACGCCTTATAAATGATCACAACAGCAAAGATGTACACACTCTTTATCATCTTTAAAATTTGGAACACTTCTACTAACCTTTGTGTATTTACTCCTTCTCCTTTCATAAACTCTTGTCTACCGTGATATATTTCTTTTTCTACTCACTCCTCAACATGTGACATTGTGAAGTGTGGCAACTTGATCTGATGAATGTTTGTGCAAGGATCTATGCTTTGTTTACGATTGCTAAAATCACGAAGCTTTTATTTAGGCTTCCGATATATATGCTCCCATTTATACTACCTATTTTCCTATCAACGTTTATTCCTTTATCTACTGCACAGGTAAAGGTAGTGAACATCACTATATTATGTACCGATTTGCCGTTGGAAATGAACTTCTATACTGTCTAATTCCTATTGTTAACCGAATTTTAGCCATTGCTTTGCAAAGCAATCACCAAGATTGGGAACGTATCATCACGATGGACTTTGACTGATGCTACGTGGTTGGGAGCAACGAGCATGTAGAATTCATCAACAAAGCGTATCTGACATTCAATACAGAGTTTGCGAGGAACAGCTGTGACCAACAAACAATATTAAATTAGAGTGATTAGTGAGGTAACTTGCCGACTACCACTTATTCCAGTGATCCGTGGTTAACTTACACAATGAGTCTTCATCTAATCTAATAGTTCTCTGCCAAATTGAAGTGGATATAGGGAAACTGGTATGCAATCTTTCGCTTAAAAGAAAAATCTGGATAGGGGAGTAGAGAAGTGATATCTAAAACTCTGAAAGGAAATTTTATACCTTTTTTATAGAAAAGATATGTCATGAGATGAAAAATTTACATTCTTTAGATGACATAACAACAGAATTACATGAGTGAGACAGAACTGCCTCTTCTCCTCATGAGACCTTCGATCCCATTGTTTCTATTCCTCTTTCTTCTAGGTGGTTGTATCTTGATCTGCTGATGTGACATGTGACAACTTGTGTTTCTAAACACCAAACCCAAGTTTCGTGGTAACACTGACTGACTGATAACAGTCAGTTCAATAAACTGACAACAAAAAATCACTACTCAATCAGCTGTGAAGTGAAATGAGTCATGAAATGACTAGTCATCACATAATGAAATAGTTACTTGAAAACAGAACACACAACATGCACTGATTACAGAGATGTATTTAATATTATCAAAAGTAGAGTGAAATTTAAGGGTAGCGGCTAACTATCTTAGTGGGGCCGAAATTTCAACATCCAGTTGGTCGGAAAGTGATCTACGGTTTAATTATGCAACCCCCGTAGGTTGAGCGTCAACCATCCAAACCAAGGGGCTCAACAATGCAATGTCAAATAAGCTTGTATGGCTTATATATATATATATATATATATATATATATATATATATATATATATATATATATATATATAATGAGCAAAACACCGTGCTTTAAAACTTAGAAAAAGAAATTTATAAAATTATTAACAGGGAAGGCTAATAACTTACCATGAGTAGGATAAAGGAAAGCCGTAGTTGATAACTGAGTATAGTTGTACAATGAACTGTCCACATAATCATTCAGTCCAATAAGTCGAGTATTAGATGTTTCTGACATACCATGATCAGCAGTTAGAATGATATCTACTTTTCCAGTAAGGCCCAATTCTTCAATGCCATCCAGAAGGGAACCGAGTATTTTATCTAGGCTTCGAACTGCTTCTGCAACCTCTCGACTGTTTGGGCCATAGGCATGACCAGTTTCGTCAGGTTCATCAAAATAAGCCAGAATAAGATCTAAGTGAAATCTAGGATTTTTAAGCCACCATAAAATATCTCTAATTCGTTGATCGTAGGCATAACGACTACCATAATTATTGAGCAACGTGAATTGGGAAACGTGTTGAAATGGTAAGTCTTTCATCACAAATTGATCAGCTAAGGGCCACAAAACTGAACCAGCATATCCACCATTCTTTTGCAATGTAACCCATATGGGTTCGGACCATCCAATTAACCATGGATCATGATTCAGGCTTTCTTGATCATCCATACTAAATGTTTTATTCGGCCATTTCTCATCTAATAAATAATTCCCCACAACTCCGTGATTTTCCGGATATAAACCGGTCACTAAAGTACGATGATTAGGAAGCGTAATAGTAGGATAAACATTATACGATTCCATAGCCCGTACACCTTTAGCTACTAAGCGATCAAAGTTTGGTAGTGAATTCGCACCGAGACGAGACTTCACCATTTCTAAATAATCGTGACGAAAACCATCCATACTAATCAGTAAAACAGTTCTATCTTTAACAAAGAATTTTGATAAAGGTCGATTGATATTCCAATTATAGAAATTAATTTCTTGAGGGACAAGTATCATGAGAACAAGATAACCAGATAGCATCATCGTAATACCTGATATAATTGATGAAATGTAAATACAATGACTTTTACGTCTGTAACGACGAGCATAGTCATGATTTATGTGATAATATGGAGGAGGTAAATCTCTTTTCCTTGGAAGTATATGTTCTGTTGACATTGTTACTGTAATGAGAAAGACAAAACAAAAAAGGAAGGTTTAACTTCAAAAAGAAATTTCTACTATCTTCAAAAGAAAATAAGCTCTCAGTAATTTTAATGTAAGCATATAGCAAATTGTGTGCATTTTGTTATATATTTTACCGAATGGTAGGAAGAGAAATGTGTTTATCCATGTAATGGAAAATATGAGCTTTAAATTAATATAGCCGGTTACCAAAAAGTGAATCTGAAACGCTGCTTTCAAATTTTTTATTTAACTTGAGTTTGTCATATAAGTGACAACTCTATTCCTTTCCTTGCGTACATCGCAAATCATCAGCGGTAATTACAATGTATTCTCTAGTACACAATAAGTTCAACCAGTCAGCACCAACATGGGACTTGGTATTACTGCACATGTTACCACACCTTGTAATAACACATGAAGATAGGAGGCAATAAGATAGAAGTTGTAGAAATAAGGAAAAAAGTAGTCAAAAGAAGTAAGAATTCGTGAAGAAAGAACAAGAAGGAATGAAGTGATAATGACATTCGGCATGATGGTAAAAAACATATGTGCATGCATCCGTAAAACTGATATCGAGTCTCAGCCACATCAACTTTAGTCTCTAGCCACCTATTTCGGCTGCCATGCAGACACCAACCGAGAAGTTTTCATTTCCCTACTTAGCTCAGATCAGCAGACAGAGAATTTATCAACTTATTCTACGCTCAAATCTGATCGACTTTAACGTTTTTCCAACCTGATTCTACTTCAAGTAAAATTATATGATGGGCAGGACAGTAACTGGGCATGTGTAGCAAGTGTCCCAGACAGCCAATTTGATAGAAGTTAACAACCATATCAACTGGTTTTCCTCTTTTAACTAAAACTCAAACCTGACTTCTATAATACCCAAGTAGTGTTTTCACAACTCAGCGCCTATGCGATGAAATGAATGGTGACTGAATACCTGAAGGCTACTGATGTCTTCTACCTTCAGTGGCCATTTAGTGAAACAGAGCGAACCGTAGCGTTGTACGATAGGCCTTTAATAGGCTATCAGAGAGCATGTGGTCACTAAAGATGGTGTACACTAACGAAGACTAAGTGGACCTTTTGTGTTCGTGTATAGATTTCGACACTTAATGATCCAGCAGGGCTGGTCATACTTCCGAGGTAGGTGAAATAATTAGGGAGCTCAACCACCCATCTGCTTTTTTAAGACAAGGTGCCCTAGGATATCAGCCCTAAAGCAAAAAGCAAGAAACGCATCCTAATCAATCGCAAATCGCTACTCAAGGTGCTTAGAATACTTCTCATTTTCACCTAACAGGACTTTGTTATGAAAATCCTATAGGTCTACTAAGGAATCTCGTGTAACACGGTTAACGCATGCTAAGATCGACCGGAGGACAACACGAATGAGCACATCAACGGTTAAAACTATTACGATGGACATATGGGATATTCTTAACGAGTGCAAATCAATTTACACATCACTCCATAAACTCCAACACATCCACGGATGCCCGGGTAAAAGGTCTTCAACAAAGTAGTGTACATACTCGGCACCCATTTCACTGAGACTGCTGTAGGATCTCTCGATAAACACTAGAATTTCTCCCTGGGTTTGTGAAATACAGCAAGCTTCAGGCGTCGATAAGTGTGTGTTCCAGAACCAGATGGAAGGTGAATATCTAGTCGATACACTTGCAAACAGGTCTGAAACCCGACTGATTAGCTGCTCATGAGTTTTCCTAAGACATATAATGCTTAGAAAACCCAAGACCTTAGATAATATGTTCAAGTAACCGATTCAGCCGTGGTTATCGTGAGAGAACAACTTTGTCTGGTTAACTAGTTCACTAGTCGCTAGCATGCCCTAAGCCAGGATAAAAAGGCAAGGTTGGACATAGGGCTAACAACCCTACCCAGTAAAACCAATCCAATCGCTAAACATACTTCAACGCACAAACAAAATTAAACTTATTCCTCGCTGGAATCGGAGAGGCGACATGACACCAATTGGTAAAAGCCTTCGGGAAGCCGATTGGCCGATGAGTCACCCATCTCTCGATGAAAGCAAAAGTAAGAATGGGACACGGAATGTCCGAACAATCTTTGAGGCTGGCTGGTAAGGCTGTCCAGATTGCCAAAGAGATGAAAAGGTATAGCATAGAAGTGCTAGGAATCTGCAGATGGAATGGAAGTGGACTCTCCAAACTCTTAACTGGAGAGGAATCAATAATCTACTCCGATATTCTCACCCAGACAACAACCACGAGCCACGAGTTATGGCGTGGCTATCATCATGTCCACAACAGCATCGAAGACTCTCTCTCACGCAGTGGAAACAAATCTCCTCTTGCAGGATCAGGATCATGACAGCAAGATTCAACTCAAAAGGAAGGAAGGTCACAATCATACATGCTGCGCTACGCACCTACAAATAATGCAGATGAAGAGAAGAAGGAGGAATTCTATAGACAGCTGCAATCAATAATGGATAAGACCCCAACCCAGTTGGGGACATCGAAATTCTAATGGGTGGGGTGACCTGAATGCCAAACTGGGAGCGGACAACACAGAAAGAGAAGCAATCAGGGGTCGAGAGGCACGCGGTGAAATGAACGAGAATGTAGAACAGTGTACAGACTTCTGCGCATTCAACGGTTTGGAGATTGGAGGCAGTGTGTACAAGCACAAGGATATGGTTAGGGTTCCTAAAATGGAAGGAATAGGTAGATATGGCTGAAAATCGATCACAATGGCGCAGATTTGTTCATTCACTATTTGACGTCTTCTAAAGCTTTAATATTTTCACTAACCTTCATTTCCAAATTTCTTTCTCATACCACGCTTCTTTGTTTAGTTTTATATTGGTCTTTTTGCATACACTTGTTCTTGTTATGCAACTCTGAAGTGTGGCATCTTGAACCGATGCACTTCTGTGTGAAGTTCTACGTTTACTTTGTCTGTCTATTAGCTAGTCACAACAAGTGATTTCAGAGAGCAAGTGGTTGGGCCTAGTCAGGCATAAAGGCACTAATGTGACACTTTCGGAATCCCAATCGAGCTATCGGATAAAGGCGAGTTGGGATAATGATATATTTTTGGGATGAGAAACATTCGCTGTCGTTAGGTCCACCAACTTCAACACCATGGGGAACACAGATCATTTTATTAGCGGTGATTACCGAAGAGTGATGGTAAAAGGTTTCTGCTACTTCTGGAGCACAAGTTCGGATAGAGATAACATACTGGTTCCCATACACTTGTGTCCGTACCTAAGTGGACATAGGTAAACTACAGCAACAAAGCCATTCCGAGTGCATCTCACTGATGGGAATACCGAGGTTGCTTCTAGCAAGAAGCTGATGGGATAGTCATCGGAACAGAATAATATCACTCATCTGGAAAAAGCCTGGCGCTGTCTCCGTTCTCCTGTGTGAATAGCTCTAAAATCGGTGACTTACCGTCAAAAAGAGGTTCGAGAGTGTCAGCGGATCTCAGCACCTTTTTCTGAATTAATGGATGCATATGAACGCATCCTCGCAGGCTCCGAGCAAAATGAGGAGCCGAAGCAACATAAATGTTTAAGAATGTGTTTTCGCAGTGGTCACAAGCTGTGGAAGGTAGCGAAGCTCTAGAGTATGGGAAAGACAGCTAAAATAGACAAGAATAGATAATGTTTTCAGTTTAAAGGAAGCTAAAACGAACGGTTACTTTTTAGTGCGACCATAGAGGAGAACGACGGGTCAACAAATCATCCACTGTGGAACAGTTCAGCAGGCCTCCATGTACTATTTATTTACTCGGTACCCACTCTCATCCTCAGTGAAGCTCTTCGACGAATCTCTTCGAATGTTGCGTAAATTGAGATAACTGTAAGTAGCTTTTTCTAGGATCGTCAGATTGGCTAGTATTAGACGTATCTGAGTATTGCGGTCTTTGATTATTTGTGAGGTAAACTAAAGTGTTGGGGTTTTAGAATCACATATGCTCCCCTCTGACTGGTCTCAGCCACTGATTGTCCGCACTCTTCAAGGAAGGAGAGAAATCCTCTTACAATTTTATGATTATATTATTTGACCCTTGAGTTCCTAGTGGAACATAGGGCTTCAGCAGCACGTCTCCACTTCACTCTGTTCTCTACAGTCTTTTCAACCTGGATCCACGGCTGCCCACAAGCTTTCATTTTTTCCTCACATGATCTCCATGCGACCCTCGGACCACCAACTCGCACTTTCCCCTTTGGGTTCCACTCGTGATGTCCTCAAGTGCTCTTTTCAGTGTATCCCCAATCCATCTCCACTTTCTCCTAATACTTGTTGGGTGATAGGTTCTTGTTTGGTTCGTTGCCAGCCAGCCAGAGTTCCCTGTTGCTTATTCTTTCTGGCTATATGATCTTCAGTATCGAATGAGCGTAGGCAGCTGTTAATGTATGTCCGTAGTTTGTTGGAAATGCTTTTCGTAACAACAGTGTTGAAAATCCGGATCTTGTTCTTTGTGCTGCGTGTAGTAGATCTCTACACTGATTTCAGGTTAATGAAGGCCTGTCCTGGCTTTGACATCCTCATCTGTGCCTGTGCCGTCTGTAGTTGAAACTACACTGGCTAGGTAGGTGGAAGAGACAACTTCCTTAAGATTTTTCCCGTCGGTGATGATTGTTATTGTTGGTTGGGTGTCTTCATCACCTCCGTCTTCTCTATGTTCCCCCTGGAGTCATGTATTCACCATCTCTTCTGTCAACTTGTTGGCTTTTGCTTGTAGATCTTCGAGTTTGTGTGACAAGACATTAGACATAAGTCATCATCGACGAAATCCAAATCTTCTCCTGGGGTCTTTTCATCGGTCCAGCGTATGCCCCTCTTCTCAAAGCTCCTCACGGTCTGCTGCATGATCCAGTCGACCACAATCAGGAAGATCATCGGTGATAGTAGACTGCAGCCTTGTCTTACTCCTATCTTCACTTCAAAGGTATCACTGAACTTTCCATTGTGAATCACTTGGCATGCAG